GGCTCAGGCAATCCACTCACCTCAGCCTCCCAAAGGCGCAGGACTACAGGCTGAGCCACTAAGCCTGGTTCTAAAATTTATTTTTAACTCCTTGCATAACTATGAAAGCAAAATTAAGTCTGTTAGCTTTTTATTCAGGGGAGAATAAATTTAAGTGATTTCTACAAAAATAAGGGATGTATCTGCAGAACTAGTATGTTGTTGACAAATAGTTTTGTATTTTTGCTTTTCTGCTACTGAAAAGCAAACAAAACCCTACTTCTGTATTATTTGCTAATTTTTGCATTTGTGAGTTTATTAATAAAGTTTACTTACATTTATACTGAAAGCTTGCTAAAATTTTCTTCTGATAAAAAAATGAGATGCCTCCATACCCTATTCCTTTAGTGGTGTTTAGTATTTATTACTGACCATTTAATCACAAACCAGTCGTATGTTATAATGAAAAATCAAATTTTGTTACATCATGTGTATGTTTCATTTTGCTTTTAGTTATACAAAAGGTTTAAAATACCAGGATCACCACCAGCATCGATGGGGAGGGGAAGAGACTGGAATGTTGACTTGATTCCCAAGTTCCTGATGGCGAATGGTAAAGAATTCTAACTCAGCTTCAAGGCAGTACTTTGACTCCAGTTTGAAAGTCAGAATCAATTCTTGACAGTATTAATCTGGGTATGAGGAACTGGATTTTGCTGGATGGCAAGAGTAGTGAGTAATAGGTCCTTTAGATAGCTGAAGTCAGTTAGCAGTGGAGGGAAGGGGGTGTGACTTACTGGTTGGTTCTGGAGAAACCGCATTATGATGTGGCACATATCTACCGAGCTTAGAAACTTTTGTAACAAAGTTTTCTCTCTTTTTTTGAGTTGGGGTCTCACACTCTCATCCAGACTTGAGTGCAGTGGCATGATCACGCCTCACTGCAGCCTCGGGCTCAGGTGATCCTTTCTCCTCAGCCTAAAAGCCCATGCCATGATGCCCAGCTATTTAAAAAATTTTTTATTTATAGAGATCTCACTATATTGCCTGGGCTGGTCTCAAACTCCTGGGCTAAAGCAGTCCTCCCACCTCAGCCTCCTAAAGTGCTGGGATTATAGATGTGTGTGAGCCACTCAGTTGAATTTTATATTTGTTAGTGAATTGTCTAGCATTTGCACATTTTTCTGTTGAGGTTTTTGTGTTTTTCTTTATTGATGTGAAAAAGCTCTATATAGATTAAGGTCATCACTCCTTGAGAAAAAAAGTTGAAAATCTCTTTCAGTTTGTGATTTGCCTTAAGACTCAACTGTATTTTTTTCCTGTCCAGAAAATTTTAATTTTCAGGTCATATTGGTGAATATTTTTTCCTTTTATTGTTTTGATTTGAGGGGATTATATTTAGAAACTTTCCATCTCAAAGTTCTATGAATACTAATATTCATTTTGATTTTATGGTTTCATTTTTTCATTATATACATTTACCTATTAGGTTTATCTAGTTTATTCTGTTGGTTGAAAGGTTGAGATTGAAATTTATTTTTTAAAAATAGCTAGTCAATTTTTCCTCAACATCATTTATTTTTTCCATTTTGGTTTGAACTTCGATTGCATAAGGGTCTGTGTATGATTTTCCATATTTGTGGAAATATCTTTAATATCTGGCTGCATAAATCTATTTTATTTCTTGTCAAAAAAATGTTTACTTTGGTGTGTTTATCTTTCTAAGGAAGCTTTAAAATAATTTGTTTGGTTTCTCAAACAAGTTTGCTGTTTTTGATATACCAAAATTTTTTGTTTTATAGGCAGATACTATTTCTAATTATAAACTTGATCTTTTCTTTATTAGGGGTTAATGTTCACTTAAATGTAAATTGACTTGGAAATTGAAAAGCATAAATTCCTGAAAAATTCTAGGAGTTGCTACTCTTTAAAATATAATAGAAACTGAAGCACCCCAAATCCCTTTACAATAATACTGTAGTTCTAAGTAATCCTCGTACTTCTGATACATATTTCATAGCTTTTGCGAAAGCAAGTTGATAGACTTATTAACCTTTAAGTTGGAACGTTAAAAAAAAACTTCAAAATCTGCAATAAGTATGCATTCCGGTTGTCTCATTTAAAATATGGCTTTGGAAGGTTTTGTTTTGTTTGTTTTTTTTGGTCAGAATTATTGAACATTGTTAGGAAAAATTTGAGAAGCTGTTAGTATTAGTGTACTTTCATTTCTGCTCATTTATAGTTCATAAGTTATGGACTAAATGACTTAAGTTATAGTTGGAATTATGTTTTTGGTTTTTTTTCCAGGTCAGCTGGTTAAGATGCTGCTTTATACAGAGGTCACTCGCTATCTGGATTTTAAAGTGACTGAAGGGAGCTTTGTCTATAAGGGTGGAAGAATCTACAAGGTTCCTTCCACTGAAGCTGAAGCCCTGGCATCTAGTAAGTACTTCCATTTTGTTTTCTCAGAATATGGAGATTTTATAGTGGAGAAGAATCTTAGAGATCCATCCATTCAGTCACAAATATTTCTTGAATGTGTCATGTGCCAGATACTGCTCTAGGCAACTGGGAATACATCAGTGAACAGAAGCTTCCCAAACTCCCACCTGTTTGAAGCCTTAGCCGAGTGGAAACGGCCCTGCGTAGACCACGCTGCTTGTCGCTGGTGGGTCTGCGCCCACGTGGGGTTGGTAGCGATCTTCAGTAAGCGGTCACAGTGGCTGTGCGGTGGGAGTGTTTCCCACGTCCTTAGGCTCTGCCCTGTTTGATGGGAGACACCTGTGAGCCAGGGTCTCCATGTTGTAGCGGAAGAAGCCTGGGCCGAAGTCACACAGGAACTGGGTAGCAGGGTTGAGCTGAGGCGCTGGCCGTGCTGCGGCAGAGCGGACCCTTGCTGTGTGGCCCGGCCGTCCGCAAAGAGGAGGCAGGACTCCAGCCCGGGGTGCTCGTCTCCTGGCTGGTCCTGTTGCCGCTGGCAGCTTCTTGGGTTTCAGAAATTCCCAGGGAGTATGGAGTGACCGTTTTCTGTTGGAAATCACTTCCTCTCCTGCCTTACCAAAGATGCCTGCTGACGTTTGCTACTTTGTTGTCACTCCTAAGCAGCAAGCACCTAGAAAGACCTTCCTTCTGCTTATCAAGGTGTTTTAGTCGCACAGAGCAGCTTGGGCGAGATGCGTTTGTGTGTCCAAAGGGTAGGTGGGTTTTACAGATGGCAAGCACTCTAGGAGTTTAGAGGAGGGAACAGCTCGAACTGGGAGAACAGGAAAAGGGCTGGGACATTCTCACAATTATGTTACATCAGTGTTGAAAAGTTTTCTAATCTACAAACCTGATACGAATTGTTTTGGCAGTTTCTCTAACTCCATTTATTTACTTATTAGGGGAGAAAATATTGGGTATAAAATATCGAAAGACACTATAGCTAGACAGTATAAAACACCACCCAGAATTGCAGCTGGTTAGGACTGACAGCAGCGACAGGAGGGAGAGGAGTGGTTCCTCACCATCAGGGTGTAGGGGGTGTTGTGAGCGTGGACTCGGAATTGTCTTTTTTTTTTTTTTAAGCAGAGTCTCAGGCTGGAGTTCAGTGGCAGGCTCATGGCCATCACAGCTTCGACCTGCTAGGCTCAGGCTATCCTTCCACCTCAGCCTTCCAAGTAGCTGGAACTAATTTTTTTGATGTTTTGTAGAGAGGAGGTCTTACCAAATTGCCCAGGCTGGTCTTGAACTCCTGCACTCGGGCAGTCCTCTCACCTCAGCCTCCCAAAATGCTGGGATTACAGGCTTGAGGGCATTGTCTTAGGAGAACACGTCATCTACATAAGCAGGAGGTCAAGAGCATGAGTAGAACCCTTTTGAACAATGCTGGTGAGTTTTTTGTTTTACATTTGTATTACTGTTCTTTCTTGGAGTATTTACTATATTAAAGCTTCATTTACCTTCTTCATTGAACAGACATTACCTTTTGGCAGTTTTATCTTGCTTTTTGATTTTTTTAAAGATGTAATTTTAATTTTTTTTTTTTGAGTTGGAGTTTCACTCTGTCACCCAGGTTGGAGTGCAGTGGCATGCTCACGGCCACCACAGCCTTGACCTACTGGGTTCAGGCGATCCTTCTGCTTCAGACTTCCAAGTAGCTGGAACTATAGGCATGCGCTACCATGCCTGGCTAATTTTTTGATTTATTGTAGAGATGAGGTCTCACCAAGTTGTCTAGTCTGGTCTTGAACCTGTGGGCTCAGGCACTCCTCTCACCTTGGCCTTCCAAAGTGCTGGGATTATAGGCGTGAACCACTATGCCCGGCCTGTAATTTTAATTTTTAAAACCTTGCCACGGCCTGAAAGTTACAGGTGTGTTTAGAGTCTTGATCTCAGTTCTTAATCTCAGTTCTTATCTTTCTGCTTTGTCCTTTCTGCCCTGCCAGATAATCATTTTCTGGCTTATCCTTCTTATGTTTCTTGTTGAAAAGTAGGAAAATGTGTTTGTACATTTTTAAGGCTAGGCTTGTTGAGGTATGATTTATATACAGTAGAATTAACCTGCTTTAGTATATTGTAGTTTTATGAATTTGAGCAGAACACTATCTTATTAGCAACTGTTTTTACATAGTGGAAAAGATTTTGAAGTCTGGAGTGGCAGTCAAGAACATTCTGGGTGTGAAGGTGGTGAAGGTCAGGAGAAGGATGCACCAGGATGAGGTATTTTGTAATTTTAACAACAGATGCTGTGTTTGAGCGTCTGTGTGCTAGGCGTCTGTGTACGGAGAACTCTGTATTACCTAGTTTTACGTGTTTGTTCCGCACCCCTGTGGGACATGAGTGCTGGCGTTGTCTCTACTACAGGCCGGAAGGCTGAAGGGCACTGGCGCGATGGGGGACCCTAGAGTAGTGCAGCTAAGCCCGGGTTTGCCTGACTCCAGAACCCCACTCTTTTTTCTTTAATTCCATCAGGATGATATTCTTTCTTTAAGTTGTGGGGCACAGTTAAGGATTAGGTATACTAATATTCCTTGTGCAGTTACCCTTGTTGAGGAGGTGTGCCCCCCTTTTCACAGATAGATACTATCGTTAATCCCACCTCCCTTCCCTTCCCTGTCCCCTCTCTCCGCCATAGTTTCCCGCCACTGTCGATCCTTTTCTTATAGTATTATGGTAGTTGTTCAAGGTCCACTTATGAGTGAGAACATGTGATGCTCAGATCTTTGTTTCTGTGAGAGGTCACTCAGTATTATAAACTCTAGTTCCATCCAGTTTGCTGCAAAATTCATGATTTTGTTCTTTTTGATGGCTGCGTAATATTCCACTGTGTATATGTACCACAGTTTTTAAATCCAGTCTTCTTTTGATGGACAGCATGGTTGGTAGAATCCCACTCTTTTTTTTTTTTTTGAGTTGGAGTCTCACTCTGTCACCCAGACTGGAGTGCAATGGCCACTCCCGGCCACCGTAGCCTTGACCTGCTGGGTTCCAGCGATCCTTCCACCTCAGCCTTCCAAGTAGCTGGAACTATAGGCGCGCGCTAGCACGCCCGGCTGATTTTTTGATTTATTGTAGAGATGAGGTCTCGCCAAGTTGCCCAGGCAGGTCTTGAACCTGCGGGTTCAGGCAATCCACTCACCTCAGCCTCCCAAAGTGCTGGGATTACAGGCTCTAAAGTGTTTGTGGATTATTCAGACATCGTTTTATTTTCAAACCTTATTTTAGGCAAGTCAATGAGAAATATATTTGACCTCTAGAATAATGCTGATCTCAGCTATTATGTTGATAAATGTTCTGGGAAGATTTGAGGAGTGGCTTTGAAATGTACCCAGCAAGATCGTCCATCTTAAACTATGTCTTTAGTTTATGGTGCATTCTCAGTCTTACTGCAGGAGGCCTCTGTCAGTTGGGAGCATTAGCACCTTTGCCGTCAGCATGTGGCCCAAGATATCGCAGAGCCAAGCGAGTCCAGGCTTTGGGGACTGTCTTTAAAATTATGTGTCCAGCACTGTAGCTTAGTAATTTTCTGGTGACACTAATTCTTCTCTAACGTTTTTAAGTAACATTAAAATATAATAGATACACCTCATTTTACTGTGCTCAGCACTTTACTGTGCTCCACAGATACCGTGTTTCTTTTTTTACAAATTGGAGGTTTGTGGCAGCCCTGTGTCAAGCAAGTCCATCGACACCATTTTTCCAAAAGCACATGCTCATTTTGTGTCTCTGTGCCCCAATTTGGTAATTCTGCTATTTCAGACTTTTTCACTGATGTGTCTGTTATGGGTCTGTGGTCAGTGACCTATGATGTTACGATTGTAATTGTTTTGGAGAGGCATGAAATGTACCCATGTAAGACAGTGGACTCAGTTGATAAACGCTGTGTGTTGTGACTGCTCCAAGACTCGGGTCCTCTGTCTCTCCTTGGACCTTTCCGTTCCCTGAGACACAACAATATTGAAATTAGTCCAGTTAATATTAAGTGTCCACATGAAAGGAAGAGTTGCACATCTCTCACTTTAAATCAAAAGCTGGAAATGATTACGCTTAGTGAGGAAGGTGTGTGGAAAGTTGGACGAGGCTGAAATCTAGGCCTCTTGCGCCAAGTTGTGAAAGCAAAAGAAAAGTTCTTGAAGGAAATTAAAAGTGCTACTCCAGTGAGCAAACAGGTGGGAAAGTGAAACAACCCTCATTGCTGAAAAAGAGAACATTTGGGTGGTCTGGATGGAAATCAGATCAGCCACAACCTTCCCTTAAGCCTCAGCCTCCTCCAGAGCGAGGCCCTGCCTGACTCCCTTGTCCTACGAAGGCTGAGAGAACAGATCTTCAGCGTAGCCGAAACGGCATTACATGGGAAGCAAAGGTCTTCTAGGACTTTCAGCCGTGGTGGCAGTCGGTGCCTGACTTCAAAGGACGGGCAGACGTGCTCGTGAGGGACCACAGCTGGTGCCCCTTGGCCATTCTAGTCCCAGGGCCCTTGGGAATGATGCTCAATCTCATGGAACAACAAGGCATGGGCGGCAGCACATCTGTTCACAGCATGAGACCTCCTGCGTAGGCGGAAGGGTTCCTTCCAAAATATTCCTGCCCCTCGACGAGCAGAGCCTGGTCACTCAAGAGCTCTAATGGAGATGTACAAAGGATTCTTTTTTCATGCCTGCTGACAGCATCCATTCTTGCTCCTGGATCAAGGAGTCTAAATGACTCCTTGTCTAAGACTGTCAAGTCTTATTTAAGAAATACATTTCGTGAAAGAATTTGAAAATGGTGTCTTCCACACTGAGCCGGCCAGAAAAAATTGCTGGAAAAAGTGAATTTCATTACAGAAGCCGAAGCCTGAGAACCAAGGTGAATCACTGTTCCTGAGGGTTGGAAAGAACCAACTTTTTCCCAAGAGGACAACCCCAGAGGACTCTTGGAAGAGAGCAGTTATGCAACTTTGTTTCCAAAATATGGGAGATGCTTACTTGAAAGAGTGTTGGCCATTGGTGCAGAAAGCCTGGAATGAACATCATGCGAATGCAACCTTGGACCTGTTTGAGGGCAGCATGACTGTACTACAAAGAAGATTTTTGATCCATTTATCATCATAAGGGCCAGAGAGCTAATAAAACTGTTAGCAAGGAGTGTTTCATTTGTACAGGCAGTGTGAGTTCTTCAGGATGATAAGATGTGGCATAATTAAAATAGATTCTTTAGTGAGATATAAAGATTTGCAAAAAGAAGCTAACAGCTTATTGGTTGCAAAGGATCTACATTGAAGGCCTTGGAACGCTAATGAACTGTTACATTACGGTTCAGGGAAACAGTTTCAGCCACTGGACCTTTTAGTGACTTAAAAGAGGTTTGAAAGTTCCAAATACTATGAAGCATGTTCATCCAATTTATAACATTAAAACTTTAATGATTAAAAGGAGAGTTGGCAAAAGATTCTGAATTGCGTTCACAAAGTTGGGAAAGATTTTGCCACAGTTCGAACAAAAAATGTGAAATAAACACAGGAACCAAAGAAAAAAACTGTCAGGAGAGAATATACACCATCCCCACCACCGCAGCTGGAAAGGCAAATCCGAAGAAGCGACAGAAAATGGAAGCAATAGAGGCTAAACAGGCAGAAGCTCTCAGGAAGAGACGACAGGAAAGAAACAAAGCTTTTGTTCAACCTGAAGAACAACCAGCTGTGAAACCTAAGGAAACTTCTGCTGAAACTAAAGTTGATGTGGCTGTCACCATAGGAAAGCAAAGAATAAGAAGCTGGGAGCTCTTACAGCTGAAGAAATTCAGCTTAAGATGGAAGCAGAGGAAAAGAAAAAGAAGAAAAAAAAGTAACATGAAAACCTGCTGACTAGCACAATGTTATATCTCCTTTTGTAAAGAATTTTAAGATACCAGTGCATCAGTTGCCTTATCTGTGAGAGATAATACTCTGATCACCTTTTTCTGAATTATTTTTGGTCATAGAACGGTATTTTTTTTTTTTTTTTTTGAGTTGGAGTCTCACTCTGTCGCCCTGCTGGGCTCTGGCGATCCTTCCGCCTCAGCCTTCCAAGTAGCAGGATTATAGGTGTGCGCTACCACGCCCGGCTGATTTTTTGAGTTATTGTAGAGATGAGGTCTCGCCAAGTTTCCCGGGTGGGTCTCGAACCCGCGGGCTCAGGCAATCCACTCACCTCAGCCTCCCAAAGCGCGGGATTACAGGCTGAGCCACCGAGCCCAGCAGTATTTTTTATAAATTTAAATTATTGAATCCTCCATATATTTTTCAAAAAATTTTGTGCTAGAATGTGGTATATATGTCTTTGTATATGTTGCACCTGATCAGTTTCCGGCAAGCTTTGCCTAAGCATGACTTGGAGTAAATTTCTAGGTTTATTATATAGAGATTTTTGGAATTGTGACCACTGTTAAATCCAATGTCTGATGTCATTGGTTAGTCTTTAAATATAATGATGTCAGCCGGGCTCAGTGGCTCAGCCTGTAATCCCGCGCCTTTGGGAGGCTGTGAGGTGAGTGGATTGCCTGGGCCCGCAGGTTCGAGACCCGCCTGGGCAGCGAGACCTCATCTCTACAATAAATCAAAAAAAAAATCAGCCGGGCGTGGTAGTGCATGCCTGTAATTCTGGCTACTCGGAAGGCTGAGGCGGAAGGACCACCGGACCCCAGCAGGCAAGGCTGCAGTGGCTGGGAGCGGCCACCGCACTCCAGTCTGGGCGACCGAATGAGACTCCAACTCAAAAAAAAAAAAAATAAATAATGATGTCTCAGCACGTTTTTGAGAAAAATAAATGCCAACTTTTCAGTGTTTTAAAGAAAAATCCCCACATTTTGTAAGGTTAGAGCTACCATAGACAGTGGTTCCTCTGATGAATCCTTCTGGAAAGGATGAGGATGTACCATTCTAGATGCTTGTTAAGAACATTCATGATTCATGGGAGGTGGTCAGAATACCAATATTGACAAGATTTTGGAAGAAGTTGATTCCAAACCTCATGGGTGACTTTGAGAGATTCTAGATTGAAGACTTTTGACGATCCCCAAACTTAACTTCTGATAGCTTACTGTTGACCAGAAGCCTTACGGACAACATACAGTTGGTTAACACTTATTTTATATGTCATATGTGTTATATGATATATTCTTAGCTAGCTAATTTTTTACTTATTGTAGAGATGAGGTCTCACCAAGTTGCCTGGGCTGGTCTCGAATCCACGGACTCAGGCCATCCGCTTGCCTTGGCCTCCCAGCATGCTGGGATTACAGGTTGAGCCACCAAGCCCAGCTGAGTTGAGGATTTCTAAAGCAGTAGTTTGTACTTTCTCTTCAGCTGTGTTGTTTCAGTATAAAAAGCAGTGGATTATCTTAAACTGACCATCGGCATCTAAATTTCATCGTGGTTAGTTTGTTGTTGGCATCATTCATTTATAATTGACGAGCTTCCTTCCTGCTAAATGCCAGAGTACATCTGAGCATTCCAGGGAGGAGAAAAGGAAGAGCATTCAGGTGGCTGTCCTCATGGATAAGGCTTCTTCAAAGTCATCGTTACTTTGTGCCTAGGAAGAGACCTAATTGGACCGATAGTTCATTTGATTAAGTACAGGTTATTGGTTACTTGTAACCATATGGTACCATTGACCTATTGTGTCAGTTAAAGTGTTGAAAAGCCAGAAGCCATGTTGTCTGAACTTCGTATCTTAAATCATACCTGCATAGAAGGGCCTCAGCTGACGTGACGCGTTTCAATTTGCTCTCAGGCTTTCTTTTCCTTAATGTCCTTTTGTGAATGTGTGCTTTTTGAAAAATTCTCTTTTAGGTTTAATGGGACTGTTTGAAAAACGTCGCTTCAGGAAATTCCTCGTGTATGTTGCCAACTTCGATGAGAACGATCCCAGAACCTTTGAGGGCTTTGATCCCAAGAAGACCGCAATGCGCGACGTGTATAAGAAATTTGATTTGGGCCAAGATGTCATAGATTTTACTGGTCATGCTCTTGCACTTTACAGAACTGATGAGTAAGTTTTGGGTTTCTGGATTTGTATTTTTCTTGGGACACTCTTTGAATTTTCCAGTTATCCATGGCAATTCTAACAACACACATGGCTGGCCATGTTCTACTGTGGCAGAAGTCGTTCCAGTTGCAAATCTGTGTTGAGCCTCTTACATACAGCAGGAAGGTCATGGATTGAAATCCACTTGCACGAAAGACTTGAAACTGAACACCAAGAAAGAAAACTGAAGCCCTTGCCTAATACCCATTTCATTTTCTCCAGCTACTTAGATCAGCCATGTCGGGAAACCATCAATAGGATTAAACTCTACAGCGAGTCTTTGGCAAGGTACGGCAAAAGCCCATACCTGTACCCACTCTACGGTCTTGGAGAACTGCCACAAGGATTTGCAAGGTAAGAGCCCGCGCCCAGCCTCCCAGTTGGAGGTAAGCCAGCGCCTCCCAGTCCTGAGCCTCCTCCAACACAGACTGTGTCTGAGGCAGAGTGTGGACAATGAGAGATGGCTGTCAGGAACGAGATGCTTTTTGTTTTCATTGAAGTAAAATTTGCCTGCAATGATATGCAGGTGTCTTCAGTTAAAAAATTCCGTCTGATAAATGTATAGACCTGTGAAACTAAAAACCCCAATCAAGACATAAAACATTTCCTCAGCCCAGTACGTTCCCTTGTATTGCCTCGTCATCAACGCTGCCCCCCATCTGTTATTTTGGGGTGAGGGGGCTGGGAATCTCACTCTGTTGTCCAGACTGGAATGCAGTGGCATGATCACGGCTCACCACAGCCTTGGCCTCTGGGCTTGGGTGATCCTTCTGCCTCAACCTCTGAGTGGCTGGGACTGCAGGCACACGACACCCCACCTGGCTAATTTTTTTGGAGAGATGAGGTAACGCTTATGTTGCCCAGGCTGGTCTCAAACTGCTGGGCTCCAGCAATGCTCCTGCCTTTGTCTCCCAAAGTACTGGGATTACGGGCATGAGCCACAACGCCTGGTCTACATCTGGGATGTCTATCACCATTCATTACTTTTGCTTGTTTATGAAGTTCATATAAAGGAATAATACAATGTGCTCATTTGTGCCTGGCTTTGTGTAAATATTTTTTACTAAGGCATATTGATGCGTATGCTGGTAGTTTAGTTGTAAGTCATGGAGTGGGACTGCATTATATGAGTTATATGAGTATCCCACATTCTCCTGTTGGTGGACAGCTAGACTGTTTTCCATTTTGGCCATTATGAGTGAAGCTACCATGAGATTGTCTATGTGTTTACTTAAAATTTACTATGAAATTACAAATCTTGCTGTGAAATCTTCGGGGTAAATATCAAAAGTGAAATTGCTGACCAGTATGGCAAGTATATGTTTAAATTCATAAGAAACTGCCACACAGTTTTCAGAATTGGTTGTCATTGTGCATGTTCGCAGCATTTATGGGAGTTCTAGTTATGCCATATTCCTGGTAACATTTATTATTGTCAGTCTTAAATTTCACCACCAAGTAAATCTCATTCTGGTTGTAATTTGCATTTCCTGAGGAGGAATGTTGATCACCTTTTCTTTTTTTTTTTTTTTTTTTTTGAGTCAAAGTCTTACTCTGTCACCCAAACTGGAGTGCAGTGGCCGCTCCCGGCCACCGTAACCTCGACCCGCTGGGCTCTGGCGATCCTTCCGCCTCAGCCTTCCAGTAGCTGGAACTACAAGCACGCGCTACCACGCCTGGCTGATTTTTGATTTATTGTAGAGATGAGGTCTCACCAAGTTGCCCAGGCGGGTCTCGAACCCACGGGCTCAGGCAATTCACTCACCTCAGCCTCCCAAAGCGCGGGATTACAGGCTGAGCCACCGAGCCCGGCGTTGATCACCTTTTCATGCGCTTATTGCCATTTGTATAGTTTTGTGCTGTGATTGTTCAAGTCTTTTGCACATTTTTTAAAGATTGGACTTTTCTTTTTGCTTCTGTCTTACAGGAGATCTTGGTGTATTCTGGCAGCAAGTTTTGTCAGATAACGTGTATTATGAATGTCTTCTTGAGTTTATGGCTTGTCATTTGATAAGCAGAAGTTTTACAATTTTGATGAAGTCCACATATCAAAAACTTAAAAAAATTTGGGACCTTTTGGGTCTTATTTAAGAAATCTTTACTTGCCCCTGTGGCACCAAGAGACTCTCCTCTGACTTTTTCTAGAAGCTTTGTAGTTTCACCTTTGCATTTGACTCTGACTCACCTTGAAATCGTGCTGATGTGTGGGATGAAGCAGGGCCAAGGTTCACTTGGGGCTCACAGTTTTCCACCCCAAGGTCTGGTTGTTGCAGTTCCATTTGTTGAAGAGACTTCCTTTTCAGGGGCTTGTGTGGGAAGTCAGCTGGCCATGTGGATGAGTCTGTGGATTTAGTTTGCTTCCATGACTTCTTTGTATCTCTCCATTGTCGATTGCTACGTTTTATAGTGCATCTTGAAGTCAGGTGATAGGAATCCAGCCACTTTGTTCTTCAGGGTTTGTCAGGGCCTTTAATTTCCATATACATTTAAAAATGAGCTTGTCTCTTTCCTGGAAAAAAAGCCTTGTTGGGATTGCATTAAATCTGTAGATCTGTTTGGAGAAAAGATTATCTTAATAATACTGAGTCTTCCAATCCATGAATGTGATGATATGCTCTCCATGTATTTAGGACGTCTCAGCTACGTTTTGTAGCTTTCATTGTTGAGATCTAGCACTTTTTTGTTCAAATCTTTTCATACTTTCATAGTATTTTACATTATTTTGATCCTGCTGATAATGAAACTTTTAATTTTATTTTAAAGATATTTGCTGCCAATACACAGAAAGAGAATAGTTTTTGTGTGCTGACCTTGTATCCTGTGATCTTGCACTTACTAGTTGGACTGTTTTTATAGATTTCTTAGACATTTCCTTCTACACAGACATGTCATCTGTGAACAGTGGTTAGACTCCTCCCTTATGACCTCTGTGTGTTTTTTCCCCTTACCTTTAATGCATAGGTGAGGACTTCCAAAAGGATGGAGAAGTGGTGAGAATGGGCTTCCTTGCCTCTTTCCCGGTTCTTGGGGGCGTGTAGTAAAATCCTGTCCTATTAAATGTCTTTGGTAGCTTTTCTGTAGATGGTTGTGTTGGATCATCTTCCACTCTAGCCGTAGTTTGATTTGAGAGTTTTTATTATGAATGGGAGATGACATTGAGTTGATCATACGGATTTTCTTCGTTATGCTATCAGTACAGAATTGCAGAGGCTGATCTTCCAATATTAAAGTAACCCTGCATTCCCAGGGTAAATGCTACTTATTCATAATGTATGTTCTTTTTATTCATTGTTGGGTTTAAGTTGCATGTGTGTGTATGTATGTATGTGTTTGTGTGTGTATATACAATGAACACAAATACACATATGGATGGATTTTTTTTCTTTGTGTTTATGATAGATACGGGTTTTACAGCTCCTGTAATGTCCTTGACTGGTTTTTGTATTAGGGTTTGGTAGACTCACATAGTTAGTTGGAAGAGTTTCTTCCTCCTCTGTTTTCTGAAAGATTTTTGTGAAGATTGGATTTCAGTTGACCAGTGAAGCCATCTGAGCATGGAGCTTTTTTGGGAGGGAAGGCTTTTTACTAGAAATAAGGCTTTTCAAATATACAACCATGCATAACTTAATATCAGGGACACATTCTGAGAGATGCGTCGTTGGGGGATCTCGTTGCTGAGTGAACATCACAGAATGCACTTACACAAGGCTAGGTGGCATAGGCTACTGCACACCAAGGCTGTGGCTCTCGGCCACCAACCTGTACAGCATGTTACTGTGTCACACAGTGGTGTTTGTGTATCTCAACATGCCTACGCATGGAAAACTGCAGTAAAAATTGGCCATTATAATCTTATACGTGGTCTGTCATTGGCTGAAATGTACTTGTGTGTTGCATGACTGTACTGTTTCTTCCCGTTGCAGTTTTCAGTTGTGTTTTGCAAGGAATTTGACTGTTTCAAACAAGTTCTTGAGTTTATTGACATAAAGTGCTTCATCTTCCTTTGTTATCCTTTTGGTGTGTACAGGGCATGTTAGTGATGGCCCTGTCTTCATTCCTGTATTTGGTAATTTATATTTTCTGTTTCCTTGCAAGGATTTTAAACATTTTGTTTTTTCAAGCATCCAACATTTTGCTTTGTTAGTTTCCTTTGTAGCTTGATGTTCTTTCTTTCTTGATTTCTTGCTTCCCCTTGGGTTCATTTGCTTTTCTCTTTGCTTAGCCTTTTACATCTCCATACTTCATAAGCTCCATAACTTATTTTCTAGACTCTGCAGTACAGTGTTACGATTCTCTGCATTAAGCAATCTGTTTAAAAAGAGAAGGGAAGGGTGGCCGTTTCTGCTTCTCCACACGGTGACCACCCGTGCTGCTCATTCTTGTGTGTAGAGATTGCTTCTACTGGTGTCGCTTTCTTCAGCTTTGCCCTGTTCCCGTATGGGTGTGCTGCTTTAGTTTATCTGAAATGCGGTTTCCCCTTCCTCTTCATAGGACTTTCCGCTGGCTCGCACTGTTCAAAGTGTTCAGCACTTTGAAGCAGCTGTTCCCTCAGTCCTCAGTTCCCTCAGTCCTGCGGCCTCCGCTTGGACTGAGAAGTTACTGGTTGGTCTCAGTCATTCATGTGTGGGATGTGTTTTCTCCCCTGGCTGCTTTCAGGCTGTTGAGAGTCTGGTCTTTGTCAGTCTGAGTAGGATTTTCGTGGGTGGGTTTGCTTTGAGGTTTGCTGAAGCGCTTGGATGTTTAACTTTCGACATCAAATTGGACTTCTTGAAATCATTATTTCTTCAGATGTTCTGTCCCATGACCGCTCTCCTCCTCTTCGGGGACACCAACTACTTGTATGTCAAATGCTGATACTATTCCTCGAGTCCCTGAGGCTCTGCTTGTTTGTTTTCTTTTTGTCTTTTTTTCTCTCTGTGCTTCATGTGGGATGATGCCTATTCATATGTCTTAACTTCACTCATTTTTTTCTGCTGTTTTCAACAGGCCGTTAATCCCATTACTTTATTTCTATTTTATTTTGTAGCATGGGGTCTTGCTATATTGCCCAGGTGGGTCTTGAACTCCTGGGCTCAAGTGACCATATTGCCTTGATCTGCCAAGTGCTGGGACTACAGGTGTGAGCCACTGTGCCTGCTGCATTGTTTATGGTGTACTTCCTACATCTAGAATGTTTTTAGGATAGTTTTTATTTTTGTGAGATTCTCTGTTTACTCGTTTGCCTCTCCGGAATGTGCAACAGCACATTCATCTTTGAACAAGTATCTTTTACTAGGAACATGTGCTTGAACAAGGGTGATGATGTTCTTGACCGTAATTGTGATGGTCGCCTTTGAACTCCTGCATGTTTTAACATCTGGGTAATCTGGGCATCTGTTTCTGTTGACTGCCTATGCTTACTTTGGATCGTGTTTTTCTGTTTCTCCATGTGTCTCATATTCTTGGATCGTATACTAGACATAGGGATTGATATTGTGTGGAGACCTTTTCTCTGAAGTGCTGGTTTTTGTTGGGGCAGACAGTGCGGTTATTGGCTGTGTTCCTCTAGAACTTGTGGAGGCTGGAATTTACATTTGGTCAGGGTGGGTCTCAGCTTCGCCTTTTGCTTTTGGAGGAATTCCTAGACACCAAGACGTGGTCCTCTGGGGTAGCCAAGCTCCTCCAGTGTGGCCATCTTCGACGTCAGACTCTTCTTTCCTTCTGCCCGGCAGCTGTGATCTCCGTGGCGCCTTTGGCCTTCCAGCTGCTGCTTTTTGATGGGTTCCTAAGGATTTGAAGAGACCTTATCGCAGTGTTCAAGGAGCCACATCTGTTGGTTTCTTCGTGGCTCCTTCTGTCGTGGGACTTCCCGCCCCTTTCTTCCTCCTTCGGCAGCCGCCAGCCTGTGGGCGTGCTGCTTCTGTTCTGCCTGCCTCCTGTTGCCAGGACTGGGAGGCGGATGCCTCGGGGGGAAAGCCTCCTACACCGCCAGCAGACACCATCCACATGGCGCCGTGCGGGAGTCCCTGGGTTCTGCCTGCCTTCGGCATCCTCCAGGGGCTTCTGGTGGTATTTCTCAAATTCACAATTTCGTTTACATGCGGGAGGAGTAGGCTTGAGTAACTCTCCCCCATTACTGGCTGGTGGTTTTTTTGACTTGATGTTCATGTCTGGCTGAAACGCGAATTCATGTTTCTGACTCTTATAATTCCTGCTTTCACAGATTTTAAGTTAACATCTTTCTAGAGGGAAATCCAGCAAATATATATTGCCTGTAACTCACTAAGATCTAAGGAAGGAGACTTTAGCAGTTGAAACAATTAACGTCATTAATTGAGATTTTAAACATTTTCTAGGCTAAGTGCTATTTATGGAGGTACCTACATGTTGAATAAACCAATTGAAGAAATCATTGTGCAGAATGGAAAAGTGGTTGGTGTAAAATCTGAAGGAGAGGTGAGTAGCTTCTACAGTTTAAAAAATAATCGTGTTGTGAAGAAATGAGGTCATCTAAAGTGCTTTTTTTGCCGTGGAGGTGGACGTGGGGTTCTCGGCTGCACGTGACTTATTTCCGCGAGGCGGAGTCCTTCATGAGCACAGACCCGCGCAAACAGACAGACCCTAGTGTTTCCTTGTGTCAGCTTGCTTTTCTCCAGACTGAGCTGTGCCTCCCAGCTGAGCTCTCGTGGCAGGTGTTCTCTGCCACGGAGTGTGGGTGGGTGCCCGTCTCCCACGTTTCCGCTCACATCCAGCTTTATTTGCCGCCATCCACGCAGGTGGAATTCCGAGCCACGTTTCTCAGGTGCGAATAGAGAAGTCACTGCTGGTCTGCTACAGGCGAGTTCTGAGTTAGGAGGTCTGGGCCGGTGCTGCATTTTCTCGAAAGCTCGCAAGTGAAGAGAGTGCTGCTGATCTGTGGGTCCACACGTCACAGAGAAAACTTGTCTTTCCTGTCACTGCACTGTTGGGTTTTCCTGCCACGTGACCCACGCTCAGCAGTTCCTGGAGCGGTGGGCTGGCTTGAATTCTGCCTTATCAGTCCCTGCGTTCCCAACGTGCAAGCCTTATGTTTCTAACGCTGAGCACGTGGCAGTGTGGAAACCCTCCGGAAGGGGTGTTTTCAGTTGCTTAGACCTCCCTGGAAGTGAAAACTGGAGATCAGACTTTGGTAGCCAGTGTAAGGGAGTGACGAGGAAGGGGGAAATGGAAATGCAGGCTGGCCTGGGGCAGAAGGACCTGGTGTGACACTGGAGCATGGCGGTCCCAAGAGGCCGTGTGGCACCTGCACTCACGGAAGGCGACGTCTGCAGGGCGCGCAGCGGGCCGAGTGGCCAGTGTGGTGCCGGAACCGAGCCCTCGGTTAGGCGCCGCAGCTGGCATCCCTGTGCCCGGGGACGTGAGAGCAGTGTGCTTTACTTTGACAGCGTCGCTCAGTTGGGTGTTCACACCTGATCAGAAACATCAGTGCCTTCTCTGTGAGCCCCTTCGTCGCGTCTACCCTAAATGAAATCACAGACGACTAAAGAATGAGGTTTTCATTCTCAGGTTTGTCACCCAAAGTGGTCAGTACCGTTTTCCCACTTGGGCCCAGAGGACTTCACCTCAGCCACCTTTTTAGTGCGTTCATATGTCGCTTCATGCCTGGGGTACCTTCTGAGAGATGTGTCGCTAGATGATCCTGTTGTCGTGTGAGTGTCAAAGAGTGCACTCACACAAGCCTAGATGGTCTAGCCTGCTCCACACCTAGACTGGAGGGCATAGCCTGTGACTCCTGGGCTACAGATTGGTATCACATGCTACTCTACCGAATCCTATAGGCAGCTGTAGCACAATGGCAAGTAATAATGTTTCTGAACATAGAAAAACTACAGCAAAATACAGTACATGGCGTGGTAGCTCATGCCTGCAATCCTAGCACTTTGGGAGGCAGAGGTCGGGCCTGGCAGAGCGTTTGAAGCCATGAATTTGAGACCAGGGCAACGTAGCAAGACCCGTGTCTCTGCAGAAGATACATTAGCTGTGATGGTATGTGCCTGTAGTCCTGCGACCTAGGAGGCTGAGGTAGAAGGATCACTGGAACCCAGGAGCTGTGTTGGTGCCACTGCACTTCAGCCTGGTGACCGAGTGAGGTCCCGTCTCAAAAATGACCATGCTGTAATAAGGTGAAAAGCAGTCCACCTATCTAGGGCACTTCCGTGAATGGAGCTTGCAGGCTGGAGCTTCCTTGGCTGAGTCAGTGAGTGAGTGGCGAGCAAGATGAAGGCCTGGGATGTCACCACTGCGTCCTACAACAGACTTTGGGACACACACACCTGCAGCCAAGTTTTCTTCAGTAATAAGCCTTGGCTTCCTGCGACTCACTGTGTTGCCCAGGCTGGTCTGGGCTCACGTGATCCTCCCGTCTCAGCCTCCTGAGCAGCTGAGACTACAGGGGTGCGCCACTGTGCCTGGCTATGTGCAAGTTTAATTTTGTGGAGTCCCGTTTGTTCACTTCTCTTGTTGCCTGTGTCTTGGGTGTTATGTCCGAGGGATCACCGCCAAATCCAGTGTCCTGAAGCTTGTTGCTTCTGAGAGTTTTATATTCCGGTCTGGGGCCCATTTTGAGTTCGTTTTTGTGTGTGGTGTGAGGTCTGGAAAGGTCCAGCTTCCTTCTTTTGCACGTGGATCTGATTTTCCTGGAACCAAATGTTGGAAGACTTTTCTTCCCCCCCGAATGGTGTTGGCCCTTGGTCAGAAATCACTCGACCGTGGAGGCGTGGGCTTCTAACTCTTGCCCTTTTCCGTTCCACTGGGGCGGGGGGTGTCTGCTTGAGCCAGCGCCACAAGGCCGTGCTTACTGCCGCTCCATAGCGAGTCCTCCAGCTTCCCTGTTCTTTTTCAAGGTTGTTCTGGCCATTCCTGACTTGTCACTTGAGATTCCCTGTGAGTTTTAGGATGGTTTCTGACCTCCTAACGACATCCGTGAACGTGGGCTGCGTTTGTGTCTGTCAGTTCTGGACGTCTTTCCGTGTACCTGTTGCAGATTGCTCGCTGCAAGCAGCTCATCTGTGACCCCAGCTACGTGCAGGACCGGGTGGAGAAGGTGGGCCAGGTGATCAGAGTCATCTGCATCCTCAGCCACCCCATCAAGAACACCAGCGATGCCAATTCCTGCCAGATCATCATTCCGCAGAACCAAGTCAGCCGGAAGTCCGGTGAGTGGAGAAGAGCACAGGCCGGGTGGAATTCTGTGAGATGGCATTTGCTGGGCAGCCCCTGGGGTCCCCTCCCACTGGGAGCTTTTCTGTCCTCTCAATAAGTCCTGCTTTCTAAAAACAGAAAAAGATAGCATTTGCTTTGTGCTTTAGCCCAGATTCCTGATAGTAGGTGCTGCGTTATCGCGAAGAGACTTCTGTTTGCCTGTGAGAAACAAAAAAGTGTCCCTTGAGATGGCCAGGTCAGACGAGGAGCCCTGCCCTTGTGTCCGTCACTTGGGGCTGCACCCTCTGTCTGTGGAGCGGATGGACTGGACTGGTGAGCTTGGAGTCTCCCAGCTCCAGTCCCAGCAGGGGCCTGGGGTCTGGCTCCGGGGCAGACTGACTCCGCTGCCTTTTTGGGCTGATGGTGCTTTGTAAACTTAGTATTTCGGTCCGAGTCCAGCATTGTGCTAGAAAACAACCTGCGTTTCTAGGCTTGAGATCAGGGCATGGCTCTATGCCTCAGTTCTTAGTTTCTCTGCCTTAGCCAACTGTTTTCAACCATTAGACTTCCCTGCCTTCCTTCCAGCTAGGCTGGAAGCCCTAGGCCTTACTCATCGAAAATTAAACTTCAAAGGTGTTTTAAAGGACTAGGTACAGCCTATCTGTATTATGGTTTTAAAGAAACCCCACCCATGTCTAAAAAAAAGCCGCGTCTGATGGCATGTACTTGTAGGCCAGCTTTAGGAGACTGAAGCCAGGAAGGCTGGAGCCCAGAAGTTGAAGGCTGCAGTGAGCTACGATCGCACACTGCACTCCACCCTAGGCAAGAGCAGGAAAAAAACCAAAAAACAGCACACAAGGTTATACTGTAATAAAGGGACTCGGACTTAAACTTCAAGAGTTCTTGAGCAGATCCTGGGTCCATGAAAAGTGTAAGACGCGTGGAGTCCCATAATGGCTTTCTGCTCTGGAGCCTACAGTTATCAGACAGAGGTGTAATACACCGCCCACATTGCATCTCGAGAATTCTGTCAGTTTATCGTGCCAACTTCGAAATTGTTTATGTGGATTCTGCAGTTCATTTATTTATTTGAATAAACACATAAGGAAATCACTACCGAACACATCCTTTGTTGGCTCTTCCAAACCTCTAAGTGCAAGGCCAAGTGGAAGACGGTCCCAGAGTCGGTTAATATGGTTGCCTGGCTGTGACAGCTGCTGGACGGAGATCCCATTCCCAAATTCAGGCGTCCACTGTCACAAGATCCAACATCTCTGGTGGGTGAAGAGGATCCCTCGTGTTACTTGTGCCTTTTACATACGACTCCGTGCTTCCAAATCATTGTAATTTCTGCCCGATGGCACAGGGGAAGCCCGAGGGCGCCATGTCCAGGTGGACGCACTCCATGAAGCGGCTGGTGTCATTTGTTCCTAGATATCTACGTCTGCATGATCTCCTCCGCACACAACGTGGCAGCCCAAGGGAAGTATATCGCCATAGTCAGTACCACTGTGGAAACCAAGGAGCCCGAGAAAGAAATCAGACCGGCCTTGGAGCTCTTGGAACCAATCGAGCAGAAGTGAGTGTCGCGCTCATCTGTGCCAGCAAAGATCCAGTGGGATGGCTGGAGGGCGCCGTGTGGCCGGGGCGGGCGAGAGCAAGGTCAGCCGACCCAGTGATCGGATTCTCTCTCCCCCTCCAGGTTTGTTAGCATCAGCGACCTCCTTGTACCAAAAGACTTGGGAACCGAAAGCCAGGTGAGTGTGGCGACGATGGCAAGGACGCGAGACGTCCCCATGTCAGCCTAAGTCTGTGTCATTTGTCCTTCCAGATCTTTATTTCCCGCACGTATGACGCAACAACTCACTTCGAGACGACCTGTGATGACATTAAAGACATCTATAAGCGGATGACGGGGTCGGAGTTTGACTTCGAGGAGATGAAGCGCAAGAAGAACGACATCTACGGGGAGGACTAACGGCGGCGCGTCCTTCCGAGTCGGACACGCCTGGAGAGCGGCAGGTGGCGCATATCGTACGCGGTCGCTATTGCCAGGCCTGCTTTTGAGATCCAGACGGAGAGATGGGGGCGCTGTGCCAGTCAATACCCCCTTCCTCTTTCTAATATCATGTCTTAACGTGTTTCCATGGAGTGGCTCTTCGGAATTGGCGGGTTACCACATTCTGTCCAATGTAACCAAACTGGCTTCTTTTCCCTAGTTGAAGGATTGGTTTTAAGCAAGTATTGCCAGACTGATCAGAGAGCTTGAGACAGGGGCACGTGGGGTGGGATTCGCACCTTCTGGTCACTGTAGCCTTGGCAGTTGCGTGCTGCTGCTGCTGACGGCTGGAGCTAGACCATCGGCGTGCCGCCGTCCTCCTGACGGTGAGGTTCCCAGTGGAATACCCTGTGGCCCGGGATGGCATCGTGTTTTCCGATGCCTCGATGCATTGCATTGTCAAGTATGATGGCATGGCCCACACCGCATAACCGCAAGTTTGGCTTACGTGGGCGTTAAATTCTACCCACGCTCCTGACGTGGGGAGTCACTGGAGGAAGCTGCGATGTGGCATCTTAACCTAATACAACGGATGAGAGAAAAGGGGAGAGGAACCGATCTCAAGCAGGTAAAATGTGGAAGCATCTTTGTGTCTCAGGCTGGCTTCTTCACTGGACCAAGCTGCAATGCAGTATTGATTTGACAGAGCCTCTGCTGTCTCAACATGGCTCCAAATGATTTCTGTACTGCAAAATAAAGCCAAACTCTGGAAACCAGTACCCTGTTTGGTCTGTGTGGATTGTCACGCTGGCTGCACACCTGCTTTGGGAGAGCTGGTGTCCATGCCAGGCACAGGCGTCAGGCAGAAGGTGCTCGGGGGCCGGGCGAGGGTCTGCGCTGAGCCAGGGCAGCTCCAGCAGCTCTGGCGTCCGGCTTCCTGTGAGTAGCCCTCCGGCTCTATGCTTGGCACAGTCTGACAGCTCGTCTTTGCTGATCTCAGTAGTGGCCTGGAACAAGTACTCGATGCAAATAACGAGTTCCTGCCTTTAATAACTTTGCTTACAGGAGCAGTTACCAGGTACTCTAGTGGCTTGGGTGTAATTAAGTTATTGCAAGTGAGGCCTTTTCCCTGGACAGTGACAGGCCTTGCTGTGCATGCTGTTGTGACTGCTAGATTAAAGGTGAGGTGACCTGTTTAAGAAACGAGGGCGGTGATTTAGATGATCGGATTCTCGTTCTGCGACACTTCAAATTGTGACCTTTCAGTGCAGGCGAAAGCACAAGCTGGTTGGTGCAAGCGGAACCTAAGCACAGCTCCGTAGCCTCCATCCAGCATGTTCACTGAACCCCTCACGTGCCGGGCCAGTGGAGACAGACAATGGCGGGCTCTGGGACTATCCCCTCTGGGGACACACATTATTCTGTGGCTTGGTCGGGTGTTAGAACAGTTACAGAAAAGGCAGCTTAGACATGGAGGATGTCCTTGTGAGCTTTTCACAAGGGCGTGCGGACTGTGATGGGGCACAGCCTGGAGGGTGAGGCTATCGGGCCAACAGTGCCTGGCAGGTTGCAGGCACTCAATAAGTGCGACGTGCCTCTTCGCAGCGTGAAAGTAGTTCACTGTGCCAGATGCAGTTCTGGTTCCTTGCTAGATTCTTGTCCGTGGGGCAGAAAAGTTAAAAACTCGAGTTCTTTCTTCTCCTGGGAAACTGCTTTTGTCTAAGTGGGAATGTGATACCTACCTGCCATCAAAAGTTGGATGACTTTTTTTTTTTGAGTTGGAGTATCACCCCATCACCCATGCTGGAGTGCAGGGGCATGCTCACGGCCACTGCAGCCTCGACCTGCTGGGTTCAGGCGATCCTTCCGTCCGTCTCAGCCTTCCAAGTAGCTGGAACTACAGGCATGTGCCAGCCACCACTCCCAGGCTAATTTTTTTTGGCTTATTGTAGAGATGAAGTCTTGCCAAGTTGCCCAGACTGGTCTTGAACCCACAGGCTCAGGCAATCCTCTCGCCTCGCCTCAGCCTTCCAAAGTGCTGGGATGACAGGCATGAGCCACCGCGCCCATCCAAAAGTTTGATGACTTTTGACAGAAGATTCTCTGTAAAGGCCATGGGAAACGTCCTCTTGAGTACCTGACTTTGGGAAGAGAGGAACACCAGAAGCTCCAGCCAGGGCAACAGGAGCGAGGAGGGAGGAGCCTCTGGAAGCTGATTATTCCTGCCTACAAATGCTATAACATAACACCCCACACACGTCCAGCTTTTACTATAAATTCATTGGCAGAAACATGATTTTCAGCTGTCTTTATTGAAAAAAATGAAACAAATTAGTTACAAAAACCTTTGCCTCAAATAGATACTATGTATCTCACAAATGTTTTTTGCTTGGTTTTGAGTTTTCAAGATCACTGTAAAAATTATTTCTAATATCATAAATAAAGGATTATTTCTTCCTCAGAAAGTTGACTTTGTAGTGCAGTATTTACAAAAACCAAGTAAGTGAAAAACGAGTTTATAAATCTGTACCATTTAGGAAAAAAATTCCAACTTTATGTAGTGTTGCTTGTATAACAGCAAATAAAGCCATTAAAAATGATAGTTGTTACAAGGGTGGTAAAGTCCTTAACACAGACCATAATGTGCGTCATACGTTTTTCTGATGTTAACATGCAAAAACGATGCTATTAAAATAGACTTGTTTTTGCTCCAAATAAGTAGACACATACAATTCTTGTCTTTAACATTAAGCTCTACAACTTTGAAGGAAGGCATCCTGTCTAAAGTGAAAATAACTTAAAAACAATATGTAACACTGCAACCCAAAGCTCTACTGTGCCTCCATGAAGCTAGACATCTCAGCAACATACAAGAAATGAAAGAAGGAAAACTTTACAAGTTGCGAAACGCTGACTTTAAAATAGGAGATGTTCGTGGCTACCAAAGTTTTCCACAGAGAAGGAACGTTATAGTCGGTTGCTGACATCCATGTCTGGGCAGGCTGCAGTTGGGTCACCTGGAGAAACACAAGAAACGTGTGCTAAGTGGGCTGCTCTGTCTCAGAGAGACACCTGTCCTCAGGGCGCATGTGAAAATGCACAGCGTGTAGGTGCAGTTTTCATGGAGTGAGCATTCCAAAGGAACAGCCGACATGGAACCTGAAGAACCGTTTTCCTTCTGTTCCCCTCAGACTTAGGTGTCAGTATCTGTTGCCAACAACTGCAGGGCATTGGAGGATGTGCTCTTACCAGTAGCTACTCCTGAACGGAGCTGCTACTTCTTGTATGTTTTCTATAAAGCCGTTGACATCTGTAACAAGGATTCCACTGTTTTCAAAGATTTCTCTGGAGACAGTAGGCTTGTCTGTAACAAGAAGAAGAAACACTTGGTGAAAAATACCATCAATGTACTTTTTTTTTTGAAGGGGCAGAAGTCCTTTAATGAAAAAAACCCCCAAACCAAAAAACAGACCTTTGTGGAACTCCATCATAGTCTGAGGAGAGGCAGGAGAAAGTGTCTGGTTCGGGCTGCCCTGTGGGGTGGGGGTGGGGGAGGAGGACAAGCGCCACCGTGGCTCTGGACTCCCATGTCACAAGATCCCGGGTAGGATGAACAGAAGCATGGGGACGGGACCCGCAGGAGTTGATGAGGCTCTGTTGGGACCCCCTCCGAGGCCAGCCCAGCAGTGCCCTGCCCCCAGCATGCTGAAGTCAACTGGCCTCGGCATCCGCGGTTCCCAGTGCTTGGCAAAGTGCTCAACCAGTATCGGGGGAAAGAAAACCAATAACACAGAAAGTAACACTAATGTCAAAACAGTATACGGTGACAACTATCTACATTGTGTTAGGTATTGGCACATATCTGGGAGATGATTTACCTATGTGGGAAGGTGTGTATGGGTTGTTTGCAAATAGGCCATTTCGGCTTAAGCATCTGTGGATTTGGGTGATTTTGGTGTCCAAGGGACAACTAACTACACTGAATTTGATGACGCCTCTTGGAAGGACATCCCCAGGTCTGACCCATTTTGGCTGTAACCGAGGCTGTACTTACCTGTTAGGAAGACAGCAAACCTGGCATCAATATGCTGAATTTGCAGGTTTATCAAACACTTCAAAATTTCCGTTTTTGTTGATGACCGAGAATCGCACTGATGGTAATGAAGCAATTCAATAATATTTGCACCCTGATATGATTTCAGTATCATGTTCTTTTTATGTGCAGTCGAATCCACTCTGAAAAATACACAGGAATGGTAATAATCAAATTTAAACTCAGTATATATTTGTGACAGCTCAATTATGTGTGTGTGCGTGCACACTTTACACTACAGTTTTGTTTTTCAGTTTTATTCTTAGCACTTTTCTTGCCTTCAGTTTAAATATGTCATAATATTCAAACTCATATGAGATCCTCTTTTTTTCTTGATGTTCTTTTTCTCTGCTTATTCTTTTCATTTTATTATTTTAAGACACAGGGTCTCACTGTCTCCCTGGTTGGGCTGCAGTGCACAATCACAGCTCACTACAGTCTCATCTCCTGAGTAGCTGGGACTAGAGGTGAAAGCCTGCCTCATTATAAAAAAATCCTACCTTACAATGAAATTGAGTTCAGAGGGCTTACGTAAATCTTCAATCTGCACAGTGTAATGAGGTGAAATCTAAATTGCAACTAATGGGATGGTGGATGCAGGAGAAGCAGAACTTGGTCGCGAGAAAGAAAGCCACAGAGGCACGACTCCTATCGGGTGTCCTGACATCTGTGCCAGGTCATCATTTTGAGTCAGGGAAAGAGCCAGGGCCCCACGCGTGCCTTTGCCTCCCCTTGGTGTCCACTTCCGGGCTGAAGTTAGAAGGCAAAAGTGATCAATGCCTGGCACGCAGCAGGCATTCTGTAAACGAGACTTATTTTTCCCTTAAGCTCCAGGAGAAAACCTGCTCCTTCAAGAAAGGTGACATAGTCCACATAGTGAGTGTCTAAGTTTCAGTCATTTCAAACAACTGCAGATGAGAAAACTGAAGATTCGGTGGACAAGAAATCTAAGCCACCTGCCCAAGGCAGAAGAGCCAGCTCATTTTCTGACGCCTCCTGGATTCGACTGTCCTGCCGGGGAGTTGCCTCAAAACACGACAAATGTACTCACTCCTTTGGTAAATACAGACGCTAACAAGGGCCTCGCCCCAAGCTACAGGACATCACGTGTTTACCAGCACGGCCAACCTTGGCAAGCCTGGCTGAGGCTGGGCAACCCTGGCAGGAATTCCCAGCGGACCTCACTGAGGTCTGCTTCACAGCCATGGCTCTAACAGCCCTGGCCTCCACGCTTATCACACCTTGTGGGCAACTTCATTACAATTAGGCAGAACCAAAACTTTAACTTCTCGCCTCCAACGCCTATGACTACGTCTCCCTTCTGTTCTCTTTCCTGTTTCACTTGCGCACCCCTCCTCTGCTCTTGACTCGCTCCAGCCTTCGCCACTGACGTCCTCTTCCTGCTTGTTGGGGAAAACCCAAATCACGCACATCCCCATCACCCTAGTGATGATCAAACGTGGTTTATGACTCCAACTTTTACGCCACACCTCCTTCCTTCTGCAAATAGAAAGTTGCATGTGCTTCTACTTACTGGGTAAGTGCTGTGTGCCATTACTTTCTATAAAGTTTAACAATACACAGCTACATAGTCTGTATTTCTTTCTAATATTTGCCTAGAGATGGAACTGATGTTGATTTTGCAATTACTGATAAGCACCAAGAGCTGTAAACATCTTTGTGGAAATAGTGGTTTTTAAAAGCTAGGTTCTTCTCCAGGCTGGGCAACAGAAAAGACCCTGTCTTCAAAAAAAAGCTAGCTAGTGGCTGGGTGTGGTGGCTCAAGCCTGTCATTCCCGTACTTCGGGAGGCCGAGGTGAGGGGACTACCTGAGCCCAGGGGTTCGAAACCAGCCTGGGCAACTTGGCGAGACCTCGTCTCTACAACAAAAAATTGGCTGGGCGTGGTAGTGCACGCCTGTAATTCCAGCTACTTGGAAGACTGAGCCCAAAGGATCGCGTGAGCCCAGCAGGTCAATGCTGGGGTGACCGTGAGTGTGCCGCTGTACTCCAGCCTGAGCAAGAAAGTAAGACTCCAACTCAAAATATAAAACCCCCCAAAAGGCCAAAAGGATGTATGTGTTCTCATCATGCACCTGAGCCAGAGGAAAACGAGCACAGCCACGCACCACACAAGATTCCCTCCATGATGGGCCACATATACAAAGGGGATCCCGTAAGATGGCAATACTGTATTTTTGCCGTACATTTCTGTATTTGGATACACAAATACTTGGCATTGGCTACAAGTGTCTACAGTGTTCAGCACAGTCACATCCTGTCCAGGTGTGTCGCCCCAGAGTGGCAGGCTAGACTGCCCAGGTGTGTGAACGACACTCAGTGATGGTCACACACGGACAGACTCGCCTAACGATGCCTCTCTCAGACCATATCCCTGCTCTTTCTTCCCCCAAGACGAAGTACCGCTCCATCTGTCACCCAGCTGGAGTGCGGCGGCACAACCTTCACACTGCAGCCTTGACCTGGGCTCCAGCAATCTTCCTGCCTCGGCATCCAAAGTAGCTGTGACTCTAGGTACAGGCGACCACACCCGGCTAACTGAAAACTTTTTTGGTGAAGATGGGGTCTCGCTATGTTGCCCAGGCTGGTCTTGAACTCCTGGGCTCGAGTGATCTTCCTGCCTTGGCCTCCCAAACTGCTGGGATCACAGGTGTGAGCCACCTGGCCTTTATTTTCTTATTTTGCTAAAACTGTGCCAACATTTCAAGTCTCCAAAACATCAATGGAGCAAATTCAATAGATTTTTTTACAGTTCATGGTGGTAGGACCAGAGCCTGGCTATACGGGCATTTCTTGACTGCCACATTTGACTCCCTCACTCCCGGTTAGTCTAGAGAAGCGTGTGCCTCAACTGCTGATTGTGTCACAACAGTGTGCTTCGATGAAAGCCCTGCCACAGAAACGACCCAGTACTCAGCGGGCAGCCCTCCCACGGTGTTTGGCGTGAGGGCGATTTCCACTCCAGCAGCGCTGGCGTGCGCAGCAGGAGGGCACCCCCGCCCCAAAGCGGAAGCGAGTGGTCACATAGCAAGTCCTGACCTTCTGTCGTCTCTCAGCTTTCTGTTTTCCCTGTAGTGAAGCAGCCACTTCCACCTTCCATTTCCATTCAGCTCTTCCAGGATCTTGACAATTTCCTTCAGCTGAACTACAGAAGAAATGTGGCAAAACAAGAAGTGTTGGTTCAGGGTGCTGGGCTCATGCGAAGTCCAGTAATGACTCCTTGTAAAGAGCCCCGAGAGCCCAGACCCGTGGCTGAGAGCACCCCGATGCTGTCGCTTCCGTGGTTGGTCAGCATCCCGCTGCCCAGTGCATGACCCGTGCCCCTCAGCCAGGCCCATCCGCTCCCACTTCGGTGGGCAAAAGCTGCGCAGGCCAGCACACGGTGGTCCCCAGCCATGACAGCTCTGAGTGTGTGCAGGTGTGTGACAGAGAGCAGCAGGTGGTCCAAGTTTCTAAATGCCGAATCTACAGATATTTTAAATCCCAGGTTCATGCAGATTTCACACTAGTTATTAAGGTCCAGAAGTGGCATCCCTTCAGTGTGACAGAGCTGGGGTCGGTTTGGGTTACACGTAAAGTGTCCTAGTAGAAGGACACCTATAGGCGTTTCCAAGCAGATAATTAAACAGGACAACTTTTATCTGATATCAGCAAGATGGCAGGGGTGATACTATCAGAAGTGTTCGAGAAGGCTGATTCCCAGCAAGGCATTTCATATGGAGCTAGCCTGACCAGGCAAGGGAAGGAGGTAAACGTCACAAAAAAGTCCTGGATTTGCATGAATCCTGGGTTTGCATGCTGCACTACCGAGAGGGAGGGATGTGGAAGCCAGCGTGCTGGTGGAGGGACCCCAGATAGCGCGTAAAACAAAACAGGCAAAAGCCTGCTAGGAGAACTGCCGCACGAAGAGAGCGCAGCAGAGCAGATGCGGAGGTTAAGCCCGCACTCGGGGTCAACTGGCAGTCTCTCGAGCTGCTCCTGTCTTCTTGTTGAACTAGTGTTTGGGTCGCTGGGTGAGAAGTGGGTTGACTAGCCTTCCAAGAAAGAAACAAAAGAAAACAGAACCAACCTAACGTTAAGGCTTCCAATATCTTGTCATCTGAGACCACGAAGCCCCCTGCACAAAACAGCTCTTGGTAGGTGTGATCAAGAACATCCCCAGGGCTGTCAATTCCAGCAAAGATGACGCCGGGCAAACGTTTCAGCTTCAGCAGAGAAGGGATCTACAACATAAGCAGACCCCGTGAAGTCAGGCATGCTGGGCATACTTTCTCAATCGCCCCCTCGCTTTCCACCCAAGGGTCTCAAGGCTCAGGACCGCCAGGATGGCTGACTGGGGCGCGGCCCTGCATAAGCAACAGCAGTGGCTCACCGCCAGCGGCTGCACGCTCATCAGCGCTCGCCAACGGGGAGGTTTCCAGCTCCCCGAGGTGGGAATGATAGGCTGAGGCACGGCCACGTCTGAGGCCAGCAGCCACGACGGCCGCCCCCTCCCGCCCGCTCCGCCTCCAGCTCGCAGTCAGTGCCGGCACGCTGGGCTCGGGGTGCTGCCCACTCAGCAGCAGGACTGCACAACTCGTCAATGCGTGTCTATGGACGGGGGTCTCCTGGGGACAAGCACTTCCTGCTATTCAGCTAGTGGGTGACTATAACAGTTTTACAATTTTCCAGAAGTTATTTTGCTTTCTGAGTCGCCCAGGCAGGAGCACAGTGGTGTGATCACAGCTCACCGCGGCCTCAACTCTCTGGGTTCAGGTGATCCTCCTGCCTCAGACTCCGGAGTAGCTGAGACCACAGGTGCCACCACGTCCAGCTAGTTTTTCTGACTTTTTGTAGAAACAAGGTCTTGCTACATTGCCCAGGCAGGCCGCAAATGCCTGGGCTCAAGCAGTCCTCTCGCCATGGCCTCCTAAAGCACTGGGATTATAGGCGTGAGCCACTGCACCCAGCTAAGTTTTTAAAAGCAAGATTTCTTATTGTTGGACAAGTCATGCAGACGTATATCTCAGGTGACAAATTTAGCAACCTTCTCTCTCTCTCACTGTAGTTCTTCGTTCATATGACCATCTCCTTAACTCTGAAGCATCATCTGCCCTACAGACACCTTGAGATCCCAGCCCCCCAGGTGCCTTCTCTTGATCTCGGTGCCTCCCGCTTCGAGGTGCAATGGTGATGCGTGTGTGTTAGCTTTCCCCGTAAGAAGGGCGGTGAGGAGCCCGACTCTTACAGAACGACCGAGTGTCTGGGGAGCACCTCTTCGTACAAAAGGCCTTCCCGACCCACCTGATGCAGACGTGATGCTATGTCTTCGTTTCGGATGATGATGACCAGCGTGTGGCTCTCTCTGTGGAGAGCTTGACAGAAACGCTGGGGTTCGACTTCGGTGTGGCCTCCTTTCCTCAGAAGGTTCTGAAATATCGACCAACAGCCATTGCTTCAAACAACGTGGCACAAAACTACTTTTCTGACCACCACGTAGTAAAAGAGTATTTTCAAACACCCGTCTACTTTACATTGAGATTCACCTGCTTCAAGGGATGAGCTGCCTGGGAAAGCTGGACATTTATCTTTTCTTTTTTTTTGAGTTGGAGTCTCACTCTGTCGCCCAGACTGGAGTGCAGTGGCCGCTCCCGGCCACCGCAGCCTCGACCTGCTGGGCTCCGGCAATCCTTCCACCTCAGCCTTCCAAGTAGCTGTAACTACAGGCGCGCGCTATCACGCCCGGCTGATTTTTGATTTGTTGTAGAGATGAAGTCTCGCCAAGTTGCCCAGGCGGGTCTCAAACCCGCGGGTTCAGGCAATCCACTCACCTCAGCCTCCTAAGGCACGGGATTACAGGCTGAGCCACCGAGCCCGGCTGGACATTTATCTTAATGCTTGGCACTCGAATGTCCCCTCTGAGGGGACTTCGTCACTCTAGCAAACCACTCAGATGGACCCTCAGAAATCTGTCAAGCTTCAGACCCATCAGTTGAGAAGTGATTTTCAGGAATCACAATAAGTGCATCCTTCCACATCTTGGAACAACAGACTGGACAATAAATTACATATTAACGTGGGAGGAAGGAAATGAGACTGCACTGTCTGCTCAAATAGAAAAACACCAGGTGGAAGACATCCAACAAGTTAATACTGTACAACATAGATCAATGAACCGATAATGTATGTAACTGTTTCACATGCTACCACACTTTAGAAAGAGATATAAAATTTTGATTTGTCATAAATAAGTTCCTCAATGACCCAAATTCCATTATAAGCAAAATATCGCTACAATATAATAACGCCAGTGGTTCTCATGCTCTGCTATTTAACATGACATGATTTTTCACTATTTCGTAAGAAGGTGTGGTCGAGCTGCTGGAGGGTGATCCGCAAGCTGTGTCCGAGTGCAAAGGGCCAAGACACCCAGTAAATCACCAGGCGTCTCCTGATGTGACACTGAGAAGAGCAGGACACAGCATGGTATCCGGGCATTCTTGCCTAAAACACACTAATTAGGAGGAAACGACGTATGAACACAAATTAAAGAAGATTCTAACAAACAGCTGGCCTGTGGTCTTCAAAACCGCCAGGGTCGTAGATAAGGAATGGCAGAGGAAGTACTCCAGGAAGACGTGACACCGGGGTGCCAAAACAACAGACACACATTTTCAGAGACACTCGCCATCATCAGAAGTGGCTGGACGCTGACAGCAACTACTTTCAACACCTCTTGTAACTGCAGAAGTCTAAAGTGACTTGTATTCATTTGTCTTATTGAGTATTGCTATTTCAATACAGTTTTTCTTTTCTTAAAGTGTGCACCCTCTGTACTTGTATGCGAAAAGGCTGGTGGAGATGGTCATAGTGGACGAACATTAACTTCCTGATTGCAGAGATGAGTCTCCTCATACTCAATTAATGCACATCTAAGTATCGAGAGGCAATGGCGCATCACTGCGTATGCAACACAGTGGCCAATGGGTCAGAAATGTTGATAACGGGGTATCTGGGTAGAGGGTACTGCTTCTCTAACATTTCTGTACATTTTAAAATGTTACATTTAAAACTATTAAAGAAAAAACATTTGGGCAACCCCTTCGTGTTCCCTCCCACTGTGAGAGCTTTTCTGTCCTCTCAATAAATCCTGCTTTAAAAAAAAAAGTTTTAATGACATCCATACCCAATATAGAAGAGAAATAAACTGAGAGGATAAAACGAGGGAGCTAATGGTGAATCAAGACAGATTCTGGCTCTGCCCAAGCCAGAATCTCACTATGGTTCCAACATTTAAATCTGAAGTACATTTAATTCTATGCACTCAACAGAATGTAAGTTATCCTCATATTCAAGTTTTTAAAAATACACGCAAAACCCAAAGAGGTTCCTCTCAACTATCCACACTAATGGAGAAACACAGTTAATAATGTTTTAGAAATCTGTATTTTAACACTAGAATGTATTTGAATGTGGGCATGTCTGCTATGGTAACTCTGGTGAAAATGAATCACTGCCCTAATTCTGGAACACCACACAAATCCTGAAATATAGTACAGATGGGCAGATCCTTGGAGGAAGACATCAGTCTGCAGATAAGACTGAGCTGTGACACTAAACTTATCATCTCTAAACTGAGAAAGCAATTGCACAAAGTACAAGAAGACGCGGGCACTTTACCTTTGTTCTTACAAAGAACGATCTGTCTTCTGTTTCGACAAGGTAGAACAGGAAGGTGCTTTTACAAGCCTCTTTCATGACACTTTTCAGCTTGACGTGCAGACTGGAACACAAGTCTGTGATCATGTCTTCATAGGAGGCCGACTGTCGCGGGAACGGTGGACACACCGCCTGAGGCGTGGCTTCTCCAGAGGCGTCACTTAGCGCCTTGTCTTGGAGCACCACCTGGTCACTGTTCATCACCGCCTGGCCGAGCTCAGCATATTCACTGAGAATAAGTGAGATATCACTCCGGCATTCTTTCAAAGTACTGTTGTACTTCAGTTTGTGAAGGTGGCAGGAAGCAGTCTGATTTCTGTGAGGGTCTGTAAGGTCTCGACTGTGGCCACAGCTCTCCTTCCTAAAGGAGCAGGAACCGTCCAGGCTGCCGGATGTGTGGCCTCTTGGGGGCTGATTCTGCTGTCTGGGGTCTGAGTGTACAACGGTGACCCTAAGGGGGCTTCTGCTCCTGGACGAGGGGTGCAGAAATGGAGCCTCAGACATTTTTGTCAAAGGGAAAGCTTCAGTGGCAACTTGGATAGGGGACTCCCTTGGAAAGACACTGGCGGAGGAGGTAGAATGCTGACAATCCCCATTCTTCAGGGTTTGCTTTAGCTTATATACGAAACGCAGGTACTCAAGGTCTAGAGTGTTCTGGGTGAGGTCATCTGCCACCCGCTGAGTGCCTGTCCAGGAGTTGAGCAGGCTGCGGTTTGCAGTAAAACTCAAGTGTCTCCTGGGGCTGTGTACACTTCTCGGGGTGTCTTTAAGCTCTTTTGTTACAGTGAAGTTGGCATACGTCCTGGACACCCCGTGGAGATCCCGGATTTGGACATAACACGGCACACGGGCGTCTTCTTTCTTGACCCCACCTGTACAGTGTCTGGGAAGGAGGCCCGTGTCCACACCCGGAACCCAGCTGGAGCAGCCCCAGTCCTCACGGGCACTGCTGTGCAAGCTCATCATTAAGCCATACCCATCTGGGGCAGCAGTTTTTTTCCTCCTGGTATGACTGCCTCTCAGAGTGTAAGAATCCTCTGAGTCTAACTTCAGGTTGCTACAATCACCAAGAAGGTCTAGGTCAGAGTCTCCAGAAAGCGGTTCATAGTGCATGTCAGAGTTCATGCCGACCCCTGGCCCCGAGTCTCTGCCCCGGGTTTCAGAGCCAGCCTTGGTCATGAGCTCTGGCCTGGTATCCTCCCTGTCCACCTGGTCTGTGGAGAATCCAGAGACAGAAGTGTCAAAGGGCTCTGGGGCAAAGGCAGCAGAAGGCTCTTCTTTACTGAGATTCTCCCTGGAGGCTGCTGCATTCGGGTGAAGACCAGCATAGGCCGAGAAAGCCCCAACATCCCACAGGTCTGTTTCATATGTAGATATACCTGGCAGTGTGTGGGTGGCTTTTTGTTCACCTTTTGGAGGAAACGCTGTGTTGGACTGCGGGCCAGTGGTGCTGAGACCAGCGGCTTCTTCATGCGACTCAACTTTAGTTTCACTGTTCTTGAGCAAACTGGCCATTCTGACTGCTGGTATTTCCTGGGTCTGAAACTCCGGCTTGACGCTGATTGGTCTCATGTAATGGGTTAATGCAGCGCTCCCTGAGGAAGAGCCAAGCGCAGGGACCTCTGAGTGCCCGCGGGCCTGTGCGGCACAAGCCGCACCAACTGAGCCAGTGCTCGTTGACTTCGCTGGTAGACGGCCGCCTTCGTGTGCTGTCACATCACCGCGGCAGAGGTTTATCTGAATGTCCCTAGGGCTCAGCTGCTGTTTCAATGACGCAGTCACTAGGCCACTCGGAGCACTTGCAGAAACCAGCGTGTCAGTCCGAGATTCATTTTCGATTATCTTTCTGGGACTAAATGGAGGTTCGCTGGACTCCAAGATGAGATGTTTTAAGTCCAAATTTCTGTTCTCTACACTCATTGGCTGTAAGGGATTTCCTGATGCGACCAGTTTTTCCAGAGAAGGCGCAGAGGCTCCTTTGTACCCCGCTGTGGAACCAGATCGGTTTTCTTCCGCACTACAGTGCTGCACCTTTTCTGAGAAAGACAAGTCTTTATCACGCTCACCTGGGACACGTTCCTCATTTATTTGACCAGGAAGAGTTAGTCCGCCCTCTCTTCCTGGACGATGAGGTACAGGAAGAGGCACTTCAGCGGAGCGCCGCGTTTGTTGTACCTGAGTTAAGTGATCCTGTCCCACCGGACAGGCAGGCCCCACAAAAGAAAGTTCTGCTTCTGCTGTGCCTACGTCTCCTGACTCAAGCTGGGAGAGTCTGTTACTCTTCTCACACGGTGCACCATGAAGCTTTGAGCCACATGGAGACACAGCCTGGGAGGACTGTGTCTCTTCAGCTGGTACTGAGGTGTCAGGACTAGAAGCTGGTGACACTTCCTCAATTAGAGAATCAAAGGGAAAGTCAGAGGTCACATTAATTTCCTCTGTAATCTCCAGGGTGCAACTCTCTTTAGAAAGTATTAAAGTGACTGGCTGTAAATTATCTCCCTCTCTCTCCTTATTTTCTACTGGTTCTTCTGACATTGCAGGAGACACAGACACAGAATCAGCAGAAGTCAATTCTCCGCTTTCTGCGAGGGTTGCCTTTTCTGGCTCGCCTATTTCCTCAGCTACATCCTGAAGTTCTGACCTTGGTACCAGGGCCTCCTGAAGCGGCTCTATTTTACCAGCTGGCATTTCTTCTTTGGGACTTGGAGGTGGTGACACTGTTATTAAGTCAATGTCAGAATCCTCCTCGGATACCTCTAGGCTGACCTCCTCTCTATTCGCAGACAGGCTCACTGGTTCGATGAATACTGAGTTACACGATTCAAAATTTGTATTTTCACTCTTTAGACCACTCTTGTCATTCTTCCTTAGTTCTAAAGAGCCGTCTGATATGCTGTGTCTGGATGCAGTACAAGGAAGTGAACGCTTTCTTCCCAAGGCGGCAGAGGGTGGTGAAGAGCCCGCTTCACCCTGTGTCGGCTCTCTCCTCTCTTCTGAAGATACGCTAACAAGACTCTGAGTCTGCAGAGGGACATCTTGAGTGTGTCTCACTTCTTCACTGGGTAGCGAATAACTGGAACTTCTAACTAATGATAATGCTGCCATGACGGCTGCCTTATCCGGTGGTGATGAGACTGGAGGCGGCATCTCATTTTGTAATGAACACCCTTCATTCTCAAGTCTCTCTCTACTTACTGAAGATGAACAAAGGCAATTAGTGCCTTTCTGCCCTGCCACTGTCAGAGGGGGACTGTCTTTAAGGCCCTGTGACGGGACCTTCTCCAATGTGGATATAGGATGTCTAGGACTTGTGGCAGGCGATTCTTGTTTAATCAACTCCTGATTAAAAGTTTTAGGTTTATCAGCTCCATTTACAGCTTCAGTCTGTACTGCTACATCTGCATTTGTTTCAGGCATGGGAGTCACTGGTTCTAGATTCATCATCAAACACCCCCTATTATCATCTTTCCTGTCCAAGGAAGGCTGACATTCGTTGTCTGAGGGGCTGCTATGCTGCAGAGGGTCCTGTAAAGCCCCTGTTTTTGTTTGCATCGTTGCATGAGGAACACTGACCTTGTTTTCAAGGGTGCTGTACACAGACTTCTGACCCGTCACCGGCTGACTACTGGTTTTACCACAGGTCTCGGTGAACGTGGCTTGAGTGATAACATCAACATAAGACGTCACTATTGTGCTATCCAGTGGCTGAAGAGTTCCCTCTTCACCAAGAATAGGTCCGTTTGTATGAGGACTTCTCATCCCAGAAAGCACACGATGAGAAGTCTTTAGCTTATCTGATGATTCTTGTTTAGTTGTTTCCCCAATTACCTGAAATGGCAAAAGTAAAAAAAATCAGAGTCAAATAAACGTTTTTAAAACAATTACATGTGTAAAGGACAAAAAGGAAAAAAATTAACCTTGGCTTGTGTCTCTTCTTTTGAATCTACTAATCTATAAGAATATGACAGGGTTGAGATCAAGCAAATCTCTCTCTCTTTTTTTTTTTTTGACTTGGGAATCTCGCTCTGTCGCCCAGATTGGAGTGCAGTAACTGCTCCCGGCCACCGCAGCCTCAACCTGCTGGGCTCTGGCGATCCTTCTGCCTCAGCCTTCCAAGTAGCTGGAACTACATGCGCGCGCTACCATGCCCAGCTAATTTTTTGATTTATTGTAGAGATGAGGCTGAGCCACTGAGCCCGGCTGCAAATCTCTTTTAAGATAGGCTTAAAATATCCCCAAATGGGATTTCTTTGAAACTACACAAATGAAAGCTCCCAAATTTCTTTTCTCTTAATAGAGATGGGGGTCTTGCTGTATGTAACATACAATTATGGTGGGCTCCCAGATCACCTGATCTCTGTGACTGTTTTTCTTTTCTTTTTTTTTTGAGTTGGAGTCTCACGCTGTTACCCAGACTGGAGTGCAGTGGTTGCTCCCGGCCACCGCAGCCTTGACCTGCTGGGCTCCGGCGATCCTTCCGCCTCAGCCTTCTAAGAAGCTGGAACTACAGGCGCACGCTACCACACCCGGCTAATTTTTTAAAATTTATTGTAGAGATGAAGTCTCGCCAAGTTTCCCAGGTGGGTCTCGAACCCGCGGGCTCAGGCAATCCACTCACCTCAGCCTCCCAAAGCGCGGGATTACAGGCTCAGCCACCAAGCCTGGCTACTCCTTTTTTTCAATCAGGACGGCAGGTAAGCTCTACCTGCAGACAACTCAAGGACCTTTCATGAGAACTAAGTTTTTGGTGTAACAATCCTTTACAGACCTGGAGAATCTACTTTCCTAAAATAAAGTGATACCTTGTTTTGGATGTGACTTTACAGATGAAAAATGAAAATTCCTTAAAAAACAATGCCAACATGTACAGTATTCAGTCTTACTTACCCCATTACCACAATTATAGATGAAATGTTGGCTTTCTGGGCTATCTTGACGACGCTTGTCTGTAAAACGTTCTTCCTGTGCATTCTGTACACAGAGTTCCAAGCCTCGGACAGGTGGTGGTGCGGTGAAAGGAAGCAGGCAGTCAGGGTCAGGGAAGGACACATCGGTGGCGGGACCCCTGGAAACGTCACTAGTCTCCAGGAGAGGGTCTGTAGACTGTGATTCCATGCTGGGGGACTCCTCAATTTCACTGAGCTCATAAGATTCTAACGTGCTATTAATAGACACGTATTTTGCTGGGTTGCTGTGTTCCACCACTTTTCGAGATGATCGTATGACTTTGTTCTGCCTGCTGTAAAACAGAGCTACCCACATATGAAGTAAAAGCTTCACTTCTTCCACATTTTCAGGCAAACCGGTGTTCCAAGGCCTGAGATTTTACGGAAAGAACACAAAAATAAAATCAGTGAAGAGTTATTGTAGTTGATTAGCTCATCATAAGCAAGTGCCTCCATTATTAAGCTGAGTTTTGTATTTACTTTTACTTTAAACATTGACAGATAAGAAACGAATAAATATGGAGTTGATTTAGCAAGTTGTTATGACTCCCACCCGCTCACTTTACAGAGAAGGACACTGAGAATCAGAACATTTATGTGACTTGAATCACAAAACATCGAACAGTGACCTGAAAAGGGGTCTCCTGAGACCTAGTCTACCACTTGTCTTCCACACCACACAGACACTCTCTGGACACAAGACACCAGGTCTGTGATTAATGGCTTCAGCTATACCCAAATCCTCATCGCCTTGCTTGTGCCAAGTCTAGCTGATTTCACATCTTCTCCATCTTTGTGTCTCTCTTCTAAAAGTCGAGAAAGTCTGAGGACTAAGTCTCTCTCCAGGCAACAGAACTATACCGTTTTCAGGTTATAGTTCTGGAAAATATCTTGAAACCACGCAGGGAGATACAAAAAACTTCTGACAGTCTGGCAGGCAAAAGGAGAACAGAAAGCTGGAGAGGGATGAGGGAGGGAGGCTGTCGAGTTATGCAGTGGTTAAACAGGTTAGTGCCAAGGAAACTATCTGTATTAGTATACGTGAACAGAAGCGTACATAAACACGCATAAGGAGAGGAGTCTGACAGCCAAAGAGTCCACATAGTCACATTTGATGGAGTTCAACAACAGGGAGCTGAATGTCATTTCACACAGCCCACAAATGCTTCCTGCTAGCTGTGATGGTTACTATTTATTGCTAAGGGCCAGCCACCATGCAAAACCCTCATATCTGTAACTACCTCAAGACACTGCCATTACTTATCTCATACTTAAAAGTGTTGGCCACAGACTGCTGTCCTCCACTGACGTCACCTGGAAATGTTAGACACGTAGACTCTCAGGCCTCACCCCAACCTGCACTGGAACCAAACCTGCATTCAGTGAGCTCCCTAGACGAGCAGCAGGCTATCGAGGTTGGGAAGCATGGTCTGGACATGCTAACTTGCCCAGGATCACAGGAGGCAATCAACGGGAAGACTCTAGGTTCCAACGCAGGTTAGTCTCATCTCCAGAGCCCGTGCTCGAACCACTCTGCTACCACGGGCTCGATCCCTTCTTACCAAGGAAGATCTCCCGAACAACCCTGTGGAAGACTGCTCACGCCTATTCATCTGATCGATCTGCCAAGCTAGAAGTTAGTGAAAAATGTTTCTTCTGGAATTCAGTCTGTAAAGCAGTACTTCTGAATCTCACACTATTTTACATTAATATTCCATCGAAAAATTTTAATTCAAAGACCACAAGGGCTTAGGAAAGGGCATTGCAAAATGGAAAGTCACCCACAAAGCTAATGTTATCTTTAAAAAGTTCTTCATGTGATCACAGTGGCAAAATCAGCCAGCGACTCTTAACTGTGAGTAAACACGCTTGCTTGATATTCTTACCAAATTACTGGTTTTACACACTTTTCCTTTCTCAGAGTTTGGCAGAAGGGTCCCCATGTCACCACACTGATCTCAACAGAAAAGTCTCATCCATTTCCAACAAGTTTCGCTCGAACTTACCCGTGTAGTGCTCTTACTACGGTTTTCTCCAGGGGGTTATTGGTATATCTGCTATCTAGGTCGAATGCGTATTCGTTTTCACATTTGAAAGTGACCTTAAAGGAGCCATCACAGCTCAACACAGTGTGGGAGCGGCTGAAACCTTTCAGGCGGGAAGACATCCACCGGGTCTTGCGCCTCAACAGCTCCTCAGAAAGTTTCTGCAGAGGAGAGGTTTTCTGATGCCGAAAGGGCATGACTTTGCCCACCGGGGTTATTGCTTCAGGGCCTCTTGTCCCATTCTTGGCAAATGCAGGGCCTAGTACTGCTTTCTGCTGTATATGTTTCTTTGAATGTTCTGCAAGGAGCAGGGCATATGAATGTTCCACAGAAACAGAGGAGCTCTGGCTTGCATCGGAAGGCTCTAGTGTTTCCTCAATAAGTGCTGGCTGGGCTTTAGCAGGGGCTTGACCACAAGAGGCCAGGCCCTCTTCATCTTGGCTAGGTGTGAAGTCTGAGCCAGAGTCACCCTTCTTATTAGAGCATGGTTTAGGTAACAACCCACCTTTTTGGCTTTTAATTCCCCTATGATATTCGTGGTCAGATGTACTTCGCAAAGAATTTTCTTTAGGAGAGAGCAAAACTTCATTTTGTGGCAATTCAGAAGAGCTGGGAGGGTTTCTAGACTCAGGAGCTGGTGTGGAAGAGGTAGCGGAGCTTAATGCGAGATCAGCTAACATATTTAGAGCCTGGGAGTCATAGTTGACAATGGAGTCTCCAGGAAGGTCTTTGTGAGCCACTGTGGTATTTTCTGGCTCAACTGTATTTATGCTAACAGCATCTTCTTGTCCAACTGATATAATCTCTGATTCAAGCTGTGAAGCAGTTTCTCCTCTGGCTTTAGTATAGCAGGAGAAAAGAAAAGACATAATGTTTGCTGTTCACAGAATTCATACTCTGACACATGATGCCTTAGTGAAAACTAATGGTTAAGTCAACATATTCAACAAAAGCTTATTATGCTACACGGATTGCATATAAAAAGTGTATCATCAGACCAAGCTTTCTTCTAACCCTCAGATCTACTATATGCTACTGACTGGAGGAGTAAGTCTTAAGGAGTGTACACATTAGTTTAAAAATAAATCACCCTTCAAAAATGCATGTATTGAACTACACACAAGGTCTACAACTCAGTTCAAGAAAAATACAAAGAGGAAAAAAAAAAAAGAAAACGAGAGTCCTACCCCTGAGGAGCTTATATTCCAATGAGGTAAGAATGTAGAAATGTCAAGTGTGTGCTAAGAGTCTGCTAACCAACTTCTTCAGAATCCATTTCCCGTAAGAAGTGATTTATCTGAAAATCACCTAAGTTCAAATGCTTTAATTATCTGATCTTTAATGAATAAAAAAGTTTAAAAAGTCATAAAAGTATTCAGACTCACCAATTTTATCACCTTTTTTAAAACTTACTTTTCATTATTGAAAACATTACCTTCTTATACTACCTGAGAAGGAACAAATCTACTGATAATTTTCCTTTCTGTAAATAATCAAACTTATCCAGTTGTCCTTAATCAGAAAATGTACATTCTTCAGTGGTTTGCTTAGGTATTCTCAGGACATTAATTCATGCTTCCTAAATGCTGTTACTATGAAAGATCAAGTTCGACCCTACATGAGGCAATGATTCCATTGCTGATGGATGGACAGAAAAGCCAACTGTAGGCCACATGCAGTGGCTCATGTCTGTCATGCCAGCACTTTAGGAGGCCAAGGCCAGAAGGTTCCTTGAGACCAGGGACTTCAAGATTAGCCTGGTCTTTACAAAAACATTTAAAAATTAGCCAAGCATGGTCATGCATTCCTGCAGTCCCCATTACTCAAGAGGCTGAGGTGAAAGGACTGCCTGAGCTCAGGAGGTCAAGGCTGTGGTGAGCAGTGATCATGCCACTGCACTCCAGCCTGGGCAGTAGAGTGAGACTCCAACTCAAAAAAAAAAAGAAAGAAAGAAAGAAAGAAAAAAAGAAAAATAGAAAAGAAAAAACACCTAACTATGCTCTTCTTTATAATTAATAGCAGTAGTCTGCGCTGGACTCAGTGGCTCATCCTATAATCCCAGCACTTTGGGAGGCCAAGGTGAGTAGATTATCTGAGCTCATGGATTTGAGACCAGCCCGGGCAACTTGGCGAGACCTCGTCTCTAAAATAAAATTAAAAATAGCTGGACGGGGTAGCGCACCTCTGTAGTTTCGGCTACTTGAAAGGCTGAGGTGGAAGGATCACTGGAACCCAGGAGGTTGATGGAGGGGTGGCCGTGAGTGTGTGTGCCACTGCACTCCAGCCTGGGCAATGGAGTGAGACTGCAACTCAAAAAAGAAAAAAATTAGTTTGAAATGAGTCAACAACCTGCCAGCAAAGGTCAGTGACTAATATATTTGAAGAAAATAAAACCCTGATCTTTGAATAAGAACAGTGTGTGTGTTTATAGGAGAAAGAGTAAAATTTATCACCACTACCCAGTTTTTATTTAAAATAGCAAAACTCAGCTGGGGCAACCCAGTGAGACCTTGTCGCTAAAAAAATAAAAATTAAAAAGCAAATTAATTAGCAGGGTATGGTGGCATGCGCCTGTAGTCCCAGCTACTGGGAAGACTGAGGCTAGAGAGTTGCTTGAGCCCAGTAGTTAGGGGGTGCAGTGAGTCGTGATCATGCCACTGCATTCTGGCCTGGGCGACAGAGTTAGCCCAGAGTCAATACAAAAGTAAATAAACAAACACAAATAAAATATAAAAACCCAAGGAGGCCAGGTGGGTGACAGGAACCCCAAACAGAGGAATGTCTTGTGAGCCTCTCAGGTGTACTGGAAACATGAATTTATTTTATCATGAGTTTATGGACACTAACTTCGTCCTGTCTTTGTTAACATCTGGGCCTTCATATACGTTATCTGTTTCTTACACAAAGTATCACTTACAAGTAAAGCCTAATATGAAAAATACTGTATTAAAGTCAAGAGAAATGGTACAGTTTAATAAATATGTATAGTCTCACGTAAATCATTTATTGACTTGTTACAGGTTCTCAATCAGAAACACAACACCAATAATCTATCTCTATTTAAGACATATATAGATAATGCCAAAGAAACTGTATTAAGAAATATAAAAACTTCAGTGAATAAAAAGCTGAACTTTAAAAAGAACAGAAAATCATTAGTTTTTGCAACAAAATGGTTGTTTGACTTGAAAAGTATCATCCGATTCTGATAAAACTCAAAATAACTTAAATAATTAATTTTCTTTCTCTCTCTCTCGTCGAAGTCTCACTCTGTCACCCAGGCTGAATTGGAGTGGCACACTCATGGCTACCACAGCCTCAACCTGCTGGGCTTAGGCGATCCTTTAACCTCAGCCTTCCAAGTAGCTGGAACTACAAGTGTACGTCACCACGTGCAGCTAACTTGCTCAGGCAATCCTCTCACCTCCACCACCCAAAGTGTTGGGATTATAGTTTGAGGCGCCGCACCCGGCCTAAATCAGTAATTGTCAAACCGAGGTCAACATGGCTATGTTCCATCTGTCTTCTTAAACTCTGATATTTCGTGTATAAAAAATAAAAGATTAATAACATAAGTGATTAAGAAAAAGAAAAATTAAGAGATAGCTTAAATGTAGTAATCCTAGCCATGGTGCCCCAGTTGGGCATGAAAGAAATGTGTCATCTTAGGATTTAACTTAGAATATGGCTGCACAGTCCATACAGCTATTTGCAATGCAAACCACTCTATTTTTTGAACACCAATTTTGAAAACTTTTCACTTTCTGGGCTCACTTTTCTGCCAAAATCCAACTGTGTCCTCCTCCCTTAATCGATCTGTCAATAAATATCTGAGAGCCAAATCAGTACAAAGAATTCAAATGACACTGGCAGGAATACAAGATATCTATTATCATAATGTTTACAAACAAATTGGAAAGACAGGACCAAGACACACCAAATGATTTGAAAAATCATGGTACCGATTCTATAATGTTCTAAAAAACCCAGCAGGAAGTGAGAGAGATGAGTGAGGGTAAGAGCATGGGAAGAGGCCTCTTTGTGGGGACAGACGTCAGCTGCCTGAACCTGGACGGGCAAGGGGATGCACGTGGGAGGAAGCCAGAGAAGGGCTGTGTCAGGAAACGGCATTTGATACAGGTGGGGCGGGGGGCATGACCATGCTATGAACTCTTGGAGGGATAAGCAGAAGAGTTCACCTTTGGTATGGAAGCCAAAATTGAGAACATGAGTTTCAGAAAGACATGATAAGCTTATAAAAATTTTCCAGTCGTAAAACAATATTAATAATGAAACTTAAGAAAAAACTCACAACTCAACCATCCCATGAAAAACAGTTTCTTTCTCTGAATTCCCCACTACCTATGAGATATCTTAAAACCTAGTAACAGATGAGGGAGAAAGTAGAATCAGGAAAATCTGACAAAACTGATAGAAATATAAAGATATGAGGGAATGAAGTCTCTTTGTTAAACAATAACATACAAGCACAGCAGGATTCAATAAGAAAGACTAAGTGTCATTTATAGACTTTCCAGTCAGGAAGAAGAATCACACCATACACAGTAAAGGAAAAGTTAAGAAGGAAAACAGATTCAGGAGAGCTGGTACTTTCTAGTAAAGAGGTAATGTCTAGCAGTTGAAACTACAGAACTAAAGCAGTTGTTTGTTCATGTAACTAAACTTTACTATTCACTTAAGCAAAGTTAGAAAAATGAAACTACTTTTTAAATTAATTGAGAGTCTTTTAAAATCAAATACAGGATTCTGGATAACTAACAGTTTTGAACAATTCTGCTTTAATTCCTTTAGACAAACTTATCTTTTACTTTTTATAATTGATTTTGGTCCAGAAAAATACTGCCAGATACAACTTGCTTGTTCATTTAGTCATAAATAAAGTCATTTATACTTTAACACTTGTAGACAATTCGATTTATACTCAGGCTTTAAGCAAATTAAAAAGTAGGCTCCACTGAAGGTTTGAATCTTTGCACCTTCCTGATTCATTTACAATAGAAAGCCAAACTACTTACTCTTGTTAGTGTCTGAACTAAGAACATCGAAAAAAATTGGCAAATTTCAACTGTTTTCATGTTATCTCAATTTATGATCTTGCAATCTCCATGAGATCTGTACTGTGGTGTCTAAATTCACTGGAAAAGAGTCTTACCAGGCTGTGGCTGCTTTCTGATTCTGGAATTCTGATTGCCTTTCACTGTATTCATCCTCTGTTGCTGTGGCAGTTTCTTCACAGGTGGCTTAGCTCTTGGGATAGTTTTGACTAGAGGTTTCTCTTGTTTCCTTGTTCTTTTAGGACTCGTTGCTACTGGAACATCTTTAGAAATAGGAGCTTCTTGGTTTTTCCTATCCCATTTGGTTTTCTGTACAAACTGTGCAGTCAGCACTTCCGCACCTTATATAGAAAAGACATCATTTTTAAGGGCTAGGGGCCCAGATACTTATCAGCATAGCTTTCCTCTTTATTTCTTGTGTTTTCTTTTTTTTTTGGGGGGGGTAACTTTAGTAGTGGGAAATAACCTATAAAGCTTCAGGTATTTCATTAAATGATTTTAACAGAGCAAGAGTTAAGAGTGCTCACATAAATATATTATTAACTTACAAAGTATATGTGTCCCTATCAGGTGAAGAAGAACAATATCAAACTAATAACTTTATAACAATTTAATTTTTAAAAAAATCCTCATAACCTTTCTTGACCAATGTGGCAGGTGAGACTGAACAGCTAGTTCATATAGCTCTGGGAAATAGAGAATTCTGTTTAAACAAAAAGCAACACAGCTCTCTTAAGGTGGTGTAGTTAAAACTATAATCACACTGCAGAGAAGAGGTTGTAATTCATAAAGAGCCAAATTATATCTCTTACTTTAGTACTTATAAGTATCTGAGTTTTAATATCATCTGAAAAATAATCTTTTAAAACATAAGAGAAGAGTGAGGAAAGTGTACGCCTGGTTTTATTTTCAACAAATCTACTACCTGTTTTTTGGAGTTGGTGTCTCACTCTGTTGCCCAGATTGGAGAGCAGTAGCACACTCAAGGTTCACAGTAGCCTTGACCTGCTGGGCTCAGGCAATCCTTACACCTCAGTCTTTCAAGTAGCTGGAACCACAGGCGTGCACCACCCCATGCCTAGCTAATTTTATTTTATTTTATTTTTTATTTTTTTGAGCTGGAGTCTCACTCTGTCACCCAGGCTGGAGTGCAGTGGCCGCTTCCAGCCACCGCAGCCTCGCCTGCTGGGCTCCGGCGATCCTTCCGCCTCAGCCTTCCAAGTAGCCAGAATTATAGGCATGCGCTACCACACCCAGCTGATTTTTTGATTTATTGTAGAGATGAGGTCTCGCTGCCCAGGCGGGTCTCGAACCCGTGGGTTCAGGCAATCCACTCACCTCAGACTCCCAAAGGCGCGGGATTACAGGCTAAGCCACCGAGCCCGGCTAATTTTATTTATTGTAGTGATATGTCTCACCAAGTTATCCGCACTGGTCTTGAACCCTTGGGTTCAGGCAATTCTCTCGCCTCTGCCTCCCCAAGTGTTGGGATTACAGATGTGAGCCACCACACCCAGCTAAAATTCACTATCTTGAACAAAATCATCTCTTAGAAAATGCTCTGCTTTCCTCCCACACTCAAGTATGAAAATAAAAGGTGGAGGTAGGTGGGGAAATAAAGAAAATACTATTTGCTTATAAAGCACAATAGGAAGTGTTTCAATCTTTTAAAAGTAAAAAAAATATATATTATAAATGCTCCCACTAAAAACTTTAATCCCACTGATTCTTCATAATTTTAGTTGTTCTCACCAAAAAATGTAGCTCAAAGATGATACAGAAAATAATCACATCTAAGTGTTGGCAAATACTTTAAAATTACATTATACAGAAAATACTACTTCTCACTGATAACATAACACACACTATTAGCCAACTTAAAAACTGTGACTAGTGAAACACAGGAAAAAGAAAAGTGACCCATTTCATTCTTTTGGGGTTAGAGAAAGGAATGGTTTTAAAAAATGCTTTCAGAATATCTTAATGCTGCACATTTCCCTGGGTGTGATTAATAATCCATTGGTGGGCTGTGAAATAAATTCTGTGTTCCACAACCAGCCTTCATTCTTAAATAAAACAGAATAGAAACTGTCAGGTTGAATTACACATCATTTTTTAAAAATTTTATTTCAGTCACGTATGGATTTGAGTATACCAGAATATCTTCTCAAACACTTCCCATAGTGGATATAATCAAAAACACTTGAGAACCAGTAACAATGTCTGCTAAATTAGACGGAATTTAACACCTACAAGTAAAATTGTTTGCAAAGAACAGAAACTCCGTATGGCTGGTCTAGAACACACTTCCCAACAGCTGCATGGCCTGGCTCACTGCTTTATACTTCCCAGTTTTCCACTCCCCTCCTACATACATATCCCACACCATCTCTCAAGCCACAGAGAGTCAGAAATCACCACCTGTTAAACCGTGGGAAGGCCTGAACTGTTCCCAGTCCTGGGGATTGCCACAGCCTAGCTGCCTCTTCCTCAGGCACCAACATTTTCAGGTTCAAGTACTCACTGCTGCCAATGTAGCAAGATGGCAGCCAGGGATGACACAGGCACAACTGAGAAGCCGCTGGGCCAGTGTGCTGACCCTTCTCTAAGGTCCACACAGCATTCAGCTAGCTCCCTGCCATTTTAGAGAAGATGCACGTACACCCACAAAACACTAAATGGCTTGAGACTCTGATTCTCTCTGTTTTAGGGGAGCATCAAAACCACATACAGAACGAACATGTTCTATGTTCCCAGGCCACTTCATGTTCCATTTCAGCAGGTCAGTTGCAGAATCTAGGTGATTACTTCTTAGAAAACTCTGCTGGACACACAGGCTTAGAAATTCCACCCAACTGCGCTTTAGTCTGGAGGTCTCAGGTCTCTCTCCCCTCTTTACAGGTGTCCAGGCTACCTGCTCTCACCTTTTGCTGCTATTGCTGTGCCCACTTTAGAAGGTCCTCTTATCCCATCTCCTTTTGTCAGAAGAAGGCACAGAAACGGACAACCATCTTTTTTAGAATAGAACATGATACATGAGCAGTTTACAAGGGAACACATGCTTTTGGTGGGCAGACTTCCTGTTTTGTGGCTTTCAGTTGTTACCTAGATCAGTGCTTGTGGGGCTTCAGCAGGCACACAAGTTGCCTGGAAAGAAATGCTGGCAGTTCCCATCATCCCACTGATGCTGCCAAGCTGCAGTCCACATGGACCGAGGCAGGACAGCGTGTGGGCACAACAGTTATCACTACGATCGCCCAAACTCATTGTGCTTACCTCTTTTTCTTTTCTGAGGAAACAGTCCTTTAACTAACTTAAGAGTTGTTGGGGAGTCTGAGCCGTTGTCTGCCCTGGGAGTCGTTCTCTTAGGAAAGGGGCGGCCCAAGTTCATCTTTTTACTCTGCATCATGGGGGGCATGCTGGCTTTTCTCTTGGGCTGCACTCTCAGATTTGACACTGGACTCGATGGAACCACAACACCCTTCTTTGCTTTCAACTTTTCTTCAGAATTATTTTTCTTTTCAGTTTCTTTTCTTACTTCTGCCTCAGAGTCAAAAAGTTCAGGATCTGGAGTCATGACTAAAGAAAACCCGACATCACAAATTCCGTCTGAAACACAAGGAGACTGAGGACGCTCTGCTAATAAATCCAAAGCAGTAGACACTTCCAAAATGTAGCCGCTAGGATCTGAGAAATAAGACTTCAACTGAGCTAAACACTCTAAAGGGCACTTTTCACTTGGAGGAACCAAGTCAAAGCCACAGGGCAGCTTCCCAAGGAATGCAGTCTCTTTTGTTCCATCCTGAGGAGAAGCAGTCAAGGCAGGGCTTCTGTCTACCTTGGACAGTTCTTGGAAATGATGCTTCACTAATGTGCTTGGATGAGTTCCTTCTTCATGAAGGGATTGCTTTGCTTCTACCAGGGCACAATTAAGGGCAGGTAAAACAGGTATCACTTTCATCGAGATGTCATCTTCAACATTCAAATCTTTCACCCCTAAAATATATATACACGTGTTAAATGACTAAAGTTGTACATAAAAAAAAGAAAAAAATGCCTTAGGTTTCAAAGTTATGATGGTTAAACATGCTACAGTGTTTCAAATGACAACCTCAATAGCAATTGCCAGCAGACTTAAAGGTACATTTAATGAATGCATCACCATGTATTTGAAATTACAAACACACACACACAAAGACAGAGATAGACAGAGAGACAGAGAGAGAGAGAGAGAGAGAGAGAGAGAGAGAGAGAGAGAGAGAGAACTGAAAAAAAGTATCCTCTGGCACGCAATCACTAGGCTGGGCTGAATAAGCGAAACTCTGCCTCCAGCTCTGTCTCACCTGACAAGGAGCTCAGGGAGCTCGAAGGCCCATCATAGTAGCACCAGTTTTTGGAGCTGGCAAATCTGTTTTCTTACTCTTTAATGTTATAATGCAAATCAACTGACCCAAACTGAAAACAGGAGAAACCCTAAATAATGCCCAAGTTTCATTAGAACAATTGCTGCCAATTTCATCACCTTTTCTATCAAATGAAATAAGTTCTTTTTTTTTTTGAGTTGGAGTCTCACTCTGTCGCCCAGACTGGAGTGCAGCCTCGACCTGCTAGGCTCCGGCGATCCTTCCGCCTCAGCCTTCCAAGTAGCCGGAATTACAGGCGTGTGCTATCACGCCCGGCTGATTTTTTGATTTATTGTAGAGATGAGGTCTCGCCAAGTTGCCCAGGCGGGTCTCAAACCCGCGGGCTCAGGCAATCCACTTGCCTCAGCCTCCCAAAGGCACGAGATTACAGGTTGAGCCACCGAGCTGGCTTGAAATAAGTTCTTAAGAAAAAAATGAGTAACTAAACTGACTAGTGTGTGTTTTACCTCCTCTCCTTGACTCATGCTGTGACTGAAGTGCTAATTTTTTGTTTTGAAGCAAACAAATAATGTAAAGAAGACAGTGAAAAGGAGAAAAAGAAAAGGTCTGGTCCCTGTGAATGAGGTAATAAAATCCTAGAACATTTCAGAGCTATTAATATTATAAAGCCACAAATAACAAAGGCTTTCAGGGCCTATTAAGTAGAAACAGACACCGTATCATTCTTTTTAAAGAAAACTGCAGAATTCAAAAATATCAAATTGGTCTATTTAAAATAAATTTGCACTATAAAAATTAGGAAAAGGAAAAGAAAGACAGGTAAGAATAAAAAGGAAAATGTAGGCAGCTATTAAATAAAAATCTCTTTCTTTACAGTTCATCATTTAAAGTAACAAGGAAAAATAAAATGTTAAAAATCTAAATGTATATTAAGGATGTAGTTCACAATGAAGTAGTATTTTCTAGGCAAAGTCAAAGGAACATGGCAAGGTGGAACCCAGTGTAATATTTCTAGTGAACCATTATAAAATCTATAAAAAATAACTTTTTCAGTTGGCAAAGTCAAGTATCACCCAATTTAAAACAAATAACCAGCCAGACATGGTGGCTCAAACCTGTAACCCAGCACTTTGGGAGGCAAAGGAGAGAGGACTGCCTTAGCTCAGGGGTTCGAGATCAGCCTGAACAACATGGCGAGATCTCATCTCTATAATAAATCAAAAAATTAGCTGGGCGTGGTGGTGGCACATGACTGTGGTTCCAGCTATTTGGAAGGCTGATATGGAAGGATTGCCTGAGCCCAGCAGGCCATGGCTGTGGAGGCCATGAATGTGCCACTGCATTCCAGTTTGGGTGATGGAGTGAGACTCTAACTCAAAGAAAGAAAAAAAAGAAAAAGAAAAAGAAAAACCCACAAATAACCAAAGCTCTGAACCTCACCTCTAAATGACCCTAGTTTAAAAAATATCTTACTAAGCCTGAAGAGAATATGAAATGTGTAACATAACACTCCAATGAGTATTCAAACAGAAATTCTGTACTATTCAACACGAACGGATATAGGTAATAATAGTTCTTACCCGAGTGTTAGTTTATAATTAAAAAATCAGAATGAACTAAAAAATCTTCCCAAAGGAGGTAGAATGATACAACAGTTGGAAGCCACCTCTGGAGGCAGCTGTGTGACCTTGGACAAATTTAAGTCTCGGTTTCCTCATCTTTGAAATGGTGATAGTAAGAGTACTTATTTTATGCATTGCTAAATCAATTACACCTACCACAATAGCTGACATAATAAATGCTTGAAAAATGCAAACAGCCATTGCCATTATGTTATTATAACTGATACATTTTGCTTGTTCCAAAGAAGTAGTGCTCAAGAAAGCACAATCCTCTGCTACAAATAAGTAAATATAATTTTTAAAAATCAATTTTAAAAACAAATTTGTATTGGTTATAGTTTTAGAAATACTATTTACAGCTTTATGTGTAATTGTGATTATAAAGAGAATTTCCTCATGTGGAAAAAAGATTCATTTTTTCATCTATTCATTTGCTTAGCAAATACTTTTTTTTTTTTTTAGGTGCTTGGCATTGGTAGGCATTAGGGATATAGAATACAAGGAAAGGTGCCAAATAAGTGTTTACACTGTATTGATGATAAATAAACTAGGGGTCCTAGCTGAGGGAGAAGTAGTGACGGGAATCATGAAAGTGATACTGAAACCAAAACTTGACAGATGCAAGTAAGCATAAGCTAGAACAGTGTCTTCCACCTTTTTATTTGTTTGTTCTCCTGACCCTTTTAGACCCATTCATGTCCCCCCCACTGCCCTCTGAAATTTTAATACCACAGATATATTGGATATGTTTATACACTGTATGAAAAATACATTGTTACCCTAAGAATCAAATTTCAGCCCTTTCAAGGGGGTCTACGACACCACGAGAACGTATGAGCTTGGTAAGAAAAAGATTAACAGTCCAGCTAAAGGGCACGACATCCACGCAGGACACCCGTCACATTTACTGGAAAGATGGCAGCAAAGGCATCTCCTTGCCTTTCGACTACACGTGAACCCAGTTTGAGGAACTTGAGGCACCTTGGGAGACTTTCAGTGGCAATGTCAGGAGACAGCTGGAAATATGGGTCTGAAGCTCAGAGGAAAGGCTAAATCTGTGAAGGAGGTCAAGAAAGGTCAACCAGGGAGGTTAATAGAAGAGAGCTACTTAAGAGGAAAAATACAGCTACAGCACCACATGCTATCACGAGGTCAAGCCCAATGAAGACCGAGTCGCATTCAACAGACTGAGAACAGAAGTCATATATACTCACTTGCTGACGAGGGTGAACGGAATAAATGCAGCCCATGCAGACCCACCTGCTCTTCTCCAGCATCTGTGCAGGATGAGAATCAGAGCAAGAAAAGTCAGGCTGTTTATCTCACAAGAACACGGTAGTGAACAGACTGAAAATACTTTCTCCAAAAGCCATCCATACCTGGTTCTGATACTAAGGCTGATGATGTGAGTAAAATGAAAAAACCCCGATCTTCTAAGCATCTGATGATGGCCTTAAACACAAAAGAAAAATACACATGAGAGAAGATGCTGCAGTCCCTCTCTCTTGCCTCTATCACACCTGTTGGTGAATTTTAAGCTCAAAGAAAAAAAATTCTGGAAATGTCAGTCAGGGTAATTTTGTCCCCAGCATCAGAAAATGCGAGTTCCTTAGGTCAAATAGTCTTGACCCTGTTTGGGCTAATATAATAACTAGGACATAAAGGGTTAGTTTTAGAAATGTTCAACTGCTTAACAAACCAGCGAAAAAGGCCTTCTTTCTTTTTTTTTGAGTTGGATTCTCACTTTGTCACCCAGGCTAGAGAGCAGTGGCATGCTCACGGCTACCGCAGCCTTAATCTGCTGGGCTCAGGGGATCCTTCCGCCTCAGTCTTCCAAGTAGCTGGAACTACAGGGTTGTGCCACCACGCCTGGCTAATTTTTTGACTTATTGTAGAGGTGAAGTCTCGCCATTTTGCCCAGGCTGGTCTCGAACCCCTGGGCTCAGGCAATCCTCTCACCTCCACCTCCTAAAGTGTTGGGATTACAGGCATGAGCCCGGAAGAAAAGCCTTATTTCATTTTTTCACTGAGACAGTTGACATTTCATACTATTGCCTAGATAGTCAATATGTTACCATGAAGCCAATTCGAATTCAAGATAAATCAGTACTATAAGTAGCATCTTAAGCTCATGTTTACATGAAAATTATTACAAAATCCTGGAACTAGAAGGATGGAAGATAAGTTTAATAAATGAATCCTTTCTACAGCATCCTAATAAATAGAAGCAGAAAACAATCAGGGCCCATGCCAACAAGAAATGCACATGAAAATAAATTTTTCATCTTTTTATTCCCCTCTACCAGAGTTTTCAGTGGAATCTTGAGCTCAAGAAAAAAGTCTTGAAATTTTAATGTTTTCAGTAACTAGGGCAATCCTGTCCCCAGGTAGCAGGGAAAATTATCTAAAAGCTGTCATTCATAATCATAAACTCAACAGTTCTTCTTCTCCCCATTTCAAAAATCTATATATCCATAAAAGAGAAAATGCAATATTCATACAATTACTTTTCAAAGAATATACCATTTTATAGAATAAAGCAATTATTTCCAGAATGACAGGACATAAGCCTAGACATATGGTAAATCAATAAATCAGTAAAGCAATGGAAATATGAAATATGTGGGGACCAAAGGGAGACAAACTTTACCTGGATGATGACAACTTGTATACCTAATCCTGAATTGTATCCCACATTTTTAAAATAAAATAAAGACAGTATAAAGACTTCTTTTCTAGTTACGCTACGCCCTGATGCTGGTATCCCACTCACACAGAGAATCACTGTTCTGATCGGAGCCACATGTTTCCATTGGCACTGCCTGTGCTTCATGGCACACGACGGTTTCCATGCTTGGCTCCTCCACAGTCCCTCCACTTTTGGGAGTTAGGGCTTCGCGACTATTCTGTATCCTTGCTTCTACCACACAGTAGGCATCCCAGGAATTACTGAGTGAACATACTGATGATTATATACGCTCACAACTTTGGTATCTATTAATTACGAACAGTACAATCTGATTTGTTTTCCACTGATATAAGAAGTGAAACTGACAATAATGAGCTTTTACATTGTTTCTGAATTTTAGTTTTGTAATAAAAATGAAAAAGAACAGCCTTCTATTAAAATCACACATTTCTGTCTTCCAAAATATGTAAAAATAAAACATCAAGTCTTATTAGTATCTCACATTATATATTGAAAGGGCTTGTAGGGCCGGGCGCGGTGGCTCAGTTTGTAATCCCAGCACTTTGGGAGGCCGAGGCGAGAGAACTGTCTAAGTCCAGGGGTTCGAGACCAGCCTGGACAGCTTGGTGAGACCTCGTCTCCACAATAAATCACACACACACACACACACACACACAAAACTAGCTGTGCGTGGTGGCGTGTGTGTGTAGTTCTAGCATTGGAAGGCTGAGGTGGAAGATCGCCTGAGCCCAGCAGGTCGGGGCTGCGGTGGCCGTGAGCATGCCCCTGCACTCCAGCCTGGGCAACAAAGAGTGAGACTCCAACTCAACAACAACAAAAAAGGGCTGTTTAAGCCTCTTATTTTAATCTTTGTTGGGGAGGATTCATAGATTCTTGTAAATGGAATATCTCCTCTTAGCCTCTTCCCTACACACACAGAAGAACACAGCCATGTATGTTCCCCACACCTTTTTAAACAGACCTTGTTCTGTACTGTTCTTAAGTTCAATGTTCCAGGCATAACCCTACATGAAATTTCTTCAAGGGACATGTACTGCTTGTCTACTAGACACCAAGCACTAAGGTACCAGGCACTTAAGACAAGAAATCTGCCCTCAAAGAATTCAAGTCTAGCTAGGGCAACAGGATATATATATGTAAAAAAAAAAAAAAGGTTTTTTTTGAGTTGGAGTTTCACTCTGTTGCCCAGACTAAAACGCAGCGGCACACTCACAGCCACCCCAGCGTCAGCCTGCTGGACTCCAGCGATCCTTCTGCCTCAGCCTTCCAAGTAGCCGGAACTACAGGTGCATGCTACCATGCTCAGCTAATTTTTGATTTATTGTTGAGACAAGGTCTTGCCAAGTTGCCCAGGCTGGTCTCAAACAACAGGCTCAGGCAATCCACTCACCTCGGCCCCCCAAAGTGCTGGGATTACAGGCTGAGCCACCCAGCCCAGCCTAAAATTCTTAATAATATGAGGCAAGAAAAAAAATACAGTGCGCTGGAGAAGAACCATGTGCAGTATGTGATTTCCACGAGTAATTGTTATTAATAAACAGGTTTCAAAGCAAACCAGCACCAAATCTTTACTACTCTTTATAACATAATCACTCAGGAGCAGTCCTTTCACCAACGCATTTTTAGAAAATATCTTCAGACTTTCTTCCTTTTGATTTTTAAATGTAAAATTTTTTATGCTACTTCAAAAGAAAAGAGCTGCCACCCTACAGTAGACATTCCACGGTTATCCACTCGGCACTGACTTCCCCCATTCTCTTGGGGAACTGTAGAAGGTTATCATCTTTGGGAGCACTGCTGCAGACTGGGTGGGCTTGACCTTCCGTCGACCGCTGGAGGTGGGCTCAGCAAGGTCTCAGGCAGCCAGGGGAGTCCATGCCCTTTTTCGGGTACTGGCTGGTGAGTGTGCAGATGACACAAGCCAGGCTGAGATGGAAGTGATGGTTTGGAGAAGGGATTCTACCCGGCCTTTTGCATGTCAGAAGGAAGCATGGAGGCCTGACTGCCAGCCTGAGGATAAAACTATCACAGAGGAGGGCAAAGCTGAGGAAGAAAGAATCCTGAACAAACAGCACTTGAACCTGGCTTGGGATGAAAAAGGAAGCCTATCAAACCTCTTCATGTTTAAGTTTGGGTTTCTCTTATGCACAACTCAAAACATCTTAACTGACACTATCACTAAGACAGGCTACCTTGACAGCTTAAGTGTATGCTATATTTTACCTTACTGAAGTTTTAATATCTGCTAGTGGGATACACAGTCATATTATCAAAGGGCTCAGACCTGTGTGGTCACTGCCCAACATGTGCAACCCTTCTCTTGTGATCTTTAGAAATCATCCATTGTAAAGCCAGGAAGAGACTCTGGTTCAAGGTTCTATTCCTGTCCTCACATTGAGGAACCCTGTTTAATACAATGGAAAGTAGTCTTTGGACTAGCACGTTTCTTAGAGTCCTACTTTCTACACTATGGAAACAGTAGAAGCAACTTTTATCAAGTGATGGATTAGGATACAGGTGGCTTTTGTCTCACAAGTGGTCCTTTGGTTAATGCAGAAGCACTACAGAGCTACTCAATTCTTCTGTCAAAAAACAAAAGCAATAAAGACACTGAGAAAAATCTGCCCTCTTTTTCTTATAGTCAGGAGTATAAGTTGGCTAGTGAGACACAAAGTAAACTGAGATACAAAGAGGATGAAAATGTGTTCGTCAATAAACAGATACAGCAGTCCCCCTTTGTCTGTGGTTTGATCGTGCTGTCAGTTATCCATGGTTCACCGAAGTCTAAAAATATTAACTGGAAAATTCCAGAAATACCTTCTAAGTTTTAAACTGCACACTGTTCTTCTGAACAGTGTGATGGAATCTTGCCCGCCAGCAGGCTGCAACCCACTCTGCACACGCCATCATGCCTCGTCTAGCCTACTGGCACGCTGCCTATGCTACTGACCTGCTAGGCCAACACAGCACCCACCTCGCTGGGCTTCAAGAGGAGGCATGGCATCACTTCACACCACCCAGAGGAGGCTGAGTGAGCACGGCACGATATTGTGCCAGACAGATCACATAACCTTTACTACAGTCTATGGCTCTAACTGTTCAATTTTATTACGAGTTTTATTGTTACTCTCTTGTTGTGCCTAATTTACAAATCAAACTTTAGCACAGGTATGCATGCATAGGAAAAAACAGAGTAAACAAAGGGCTTGGTACTATATCCAGTCTCAGTTATCCAGTGGTGGTTTTAGACCTATCCCCCTCAGATAAGGGAGGGGGTGCTGTATTATGTCAATAATATGTACATAAACACTAAATAATAAAAATCCTTTAAGCAAGCTAAAATAATTCAATCTAGGGACAGGCAACTAATACTTAAATACCAATGTCTCAATTTAAGAAAACTAAAAGTTGTTATATTTTAAATTGATTCTTACCAATTGCTCCTTTTTAATGTATTCAGTTAATTTATCTATTTTTTCCCCTTGTCTGTTGGACAGTTCCACCTCATACAAATTGAAGCACAAATCTTCGCAGCAGACTGTAGAGAAAAATCAGAAAATGTCTTATTTTTAATAAGCTGTGATTTTTTTTTTTTTTGTGAGTTGGAATTTTACTCTGTTGCCCAGACTGGAGTGCAGTGGCTGCTGCCGGCTACCGCAGCCTCGACCTACTGGGCTCCGGCGATCCCTCCGCCTCAGTCTTCCAAGTAGCTGGAATTACAGGTGAGCGCTACCATGCCCGGCTAATTTTTTTTGATATATTGTAGAGATGAGGTTTCGCCAAGTTGCCCAGGCGGGTCGCGAACCCGCAGGCTCAGGCAATTCACTCACCTCAGCCTCCCAAAGGCGCGGGATTACAGGTTCAGCCACCAAGCCTGGCTTGTGATGTTTTTATAATCAATTTGTTCATTTTAACATTACAAAAATTGAAGAACAGGAATACTACTCAAAAAACCTTTATCACTGTGTTCTTTGTTATAAAACTCCTTAGTAAAAAGTTACTAAGATTGTTATTTTAAAACAAGCTCTCATTTATACTGACAGTGTTATGGGATTAATAAGACAAAGAAATACTATAGAAACAAGCATCAATGTTCCATGAATTCACCTAAATGACCAAAAATTTTCTTCTCATTGCTTTTCTTTCATTCAAGTTTAAAAGTACATAAATAAATAAAAGTAACAACAAAAACTGTTCTCCTTGAGAGAAACGGTTATGAGTTTCCCAAGACCTTTAATATCTGCTTGCTTAATTCCTTCAGTATTTCTATATTAAAACTAGTCTATGTCATCATTAGATGAAACTATCTTTGTTTCTAGCTAGCCTCCAAGGAACTAGAGAGCATAACAGTAACTCTAAAGGTTTCTCACAGAAGATGCTTTTTTTTTTTTTTTTTGAGTTGGAGTCTCACTCTGTCATCCAGACTGGAGTGCAGTGGCCGCTCCTGGCCACTGCAGCCTTGACCCACTGGGCTCCAGTGATCCTTCCACCTCAGCCTTCCAAGTAGCTGGAATTATAGGCACACACTACCATGCCCGGCTGATTTTTTGATTTATTGTAGAGATGAGGTCTCGCCAAGTTGCCCAGGCGGGTCTCGAAACAGTGGGCTCAAGCAATCCACTCAGCCTCCCAAAGCGTGGGATTACAGGCTGAGCCACCAAGCCCGGCTACAGAAGATGCTTTTAAGAATTGCTTAACTGGGCAACCCCTCAGGTCCCCTCCCATTATGGAGGTTTTTCAGTTTTCTCAATAAGTCCTGTTTTCTTTTTATTTTTTATTATTATTTTATTTTATTTTATTTTGAGTTGGAGTCTCACTCTGTCGCCCAGACTGGAGTGCAGTGGCCGCTCCCGGCCACCGCAGCCTCGACCTGCTGGGCTCCGGCGATCCTTCCTCCTCAGCCTTCCAAGTAGCTGGAATTACAGGCATGCGCTACGATGCCCAGTTGATTTTTTGATTTATTGTAGAGATGAGGTCTCACTGCCCAGGCGGGTCTCGAACCCATGGGCTCAGGCAATCCCCTCACCTCAGCCTCCCAAAGGCGCGGGATTACAGGCTGAGCCACTGAGCCCGGCTTAAATCCTGTTTTCTAAAAAAAAAAAAAAAAAAAGGAAATAAAAGAATTACTTAATCCTCTGCACTTGGATGTCTCCTCTGAGGGGACATCGTCAATCTAGCAAACAGCACTGGTGTTCCCTCTCAGGAGACATAAAGAGATTGCTAGTGATTACACAGGACAAACTTATGCCAGGACAAATTTTTCAAAAATGTATGTTTCCTTGAAGTTTTCCATTCAAACTGCATAAAAAAACAAAGAGATGGAATATACACTGAGATGTATGTAAAAAAATATCAGCTGGCATTAATTAGAAACAGAATGTGTGAAGTGCTTTTTCATGTAGTACACAGACTGGACAATAACTTACGTATTATTAATGTGGGAGGAAAAAAGGAAACTGCATCATCTGCTCGAATAGAAAAACACCAGGGAGGAGATGTCAAACAAATTACTACTGCACAACATGTATCAATGAACTTGCAATGCATGCCAGTAACTGTTTTACAAGTTACCACAAGTTAGAAAAATATAAAATAAAAAAATTTTTATTTTTTGTCATAAATAAGTTCTTCAATGTCCAAAATTCCAAAATAAAAAAAGCATGTGTGACCTGTGAGATTCTCTGAGTACAAAGGGTTAAATATGATAAAACAGAAGTGTGTGTGTGTCTAGAAGAGAGAAGAGATTAACTGGAACAGAGCCTAGGATACGCAATGTGTCATTACACTTCAACTGACCTTTCTGCTCCAGGTAATTCTGTTTTCTAAAGGCAGCTTCTGGTATTCTTTTTTTCAAAGAAGACACTTTTATTACATACTTAAAATCCAGGTCGTGTGGTCTAAAAAATCAAAACAATATCAAGCGTGTAATAAATACTGGAACTATCTGTAACTTCGTAATTTTTGGTTTTCTAATATAAATGCAAACAAAAATGCCACAATGCAAAAAGGCCTTAAATTAATAAATTCTGGTTAAATAATAACGTATATCTATAAAAAGTATAGACTTCCAAACATATGAGTCATGGAGGTCTGCAAATATGTTCACATCTTCCAAATATGTAGTTTTGGTATAATCAAAATATGCAGATGTGTCAAAGAATTATGTATATTGAGAACGTTTTAAAAACTGCTATGTAAGAGTTGAAAACTCCTGGCAATGCTGGATTGTACACCATGCAGGACCACAGAATGAACCACACACAGATCTTCTGTACCATTTCCTGATAACTTTTTCCATTTTTAAAACTTATTTTGAAATGTTTTTATACTTTTATAGAAAAGTTGTGGTAATAGTACAAAGAATTCTTTTACACCCCTCATCCAGATACCCCAGATGTTAACAGTATTATCATGTTTGTTTTGTTATTCTCTCTCTCTATACAAACACATTACTTTTTTCTGAATCTTTTGGGAGTAAGATGCAAACCCGATGCTCTTTTACTCCAGCAACTTCTCTGTGTATTTCCTTTAAGTAGGAACATTTCTTATACAAACACAAAGCAAAATCAACAAATTCACAAGGATATAGTACTACGACTTAACCCACATCTTCCCCAAATTTCACCAACCACCTCACTAAGGTCCTTCATAGTAAAAGAAAATAGTTTATCATCCAGGATGCCAGGATGAAATAAGTTATCATGTTTCTTTAGTCTCCTTTAATCTAGAATGGCTTCTCAGTCTTTCTTTACCTTCAGTGACTTTGATATTTTGAAGAATATAGACCAGTTTTCAGAATGCTTCTCACTCTGGAAAGGTTTAACGTTTCCTCCTGACTGCAATGGCAGGAACACCACAGACAGCAGTGACATTATGTCAGTCCCTATCATATCAGGAAACACATAACATCTATTCCATTCATGGCAGCATTGACTTAACCACACAGGGAAGATGGTATCTTCCAGTTTTCTCCACTGGGCAGTCTGCATTTTTTCCTTTGTGATTAATAGTAAGTTGTGGGGAAATGTGAGCTATGCAATTATCAAGCATCAACCTACTATTTTTAGCATCCGCTGATTATATGGCATTGCCAAATGGTGATTTTATTCATCACTCTTTTTACATGCATTAGTTATACCCAACAGTGAGAAAGAACTTTCCTGTCTCTCCCACGTATTTATTAACAGAATTCTTATTTTATTTTCTGGGTTACAATACTCCTGCTTCTTCTTTAAAAAGGCCAATAGAAAATGAATTCTGACAGCACACCAGTTTTTTTCTTGGATGTCAATTAAACTGTGATTATCCTTCAGTGGTTTGGAGTACCAACTGACACAACAGGATGAACAACAAGATTTTCTAAGATGTTCGCCACAGTTCACCAGGAGGAAATTCATAACAGTTCATATTAATATAAATGCACACAACAGCTACTCTAACAGTTTTCGAAGAGAATCACGTGAAAACTAAAAACTAGATGCTGCAAATCCTAATAAAAGTTGAGTAACAAGACTAAATGGCTATGATCTGCTATATTTGCTGTCCAAGTAAGTCTGATGTTTCTTGGGAAATTACAACTTCTAGTATAAAATAATTTAATTCTTCTCAAGAGGTCATTTTCCCATTAGTGAACTGGAATTTAGGTCTCCTGTATCATGGTCCTATATATCTACGCAAATATACCCTAATCTAAAACAAAGCACAACTGTAGCATTTCACACCAATGCCACCCCTCAAGACCTTGAAATGAATTTTTAAAAAGCAGAAAGCTTTTAATACAAGCATTAGTAAAGGATAAAACATTTACTACTTACAGCTGTACTGGAATCACTGTACCATAAATGGACCAAAGAGTTATATCACACAGCATACAGCCTTGAATGATTAACTTCCCTTTCCATGGAGAGATGAGAACTTTAAGAAATGAAGGTAAGACATAAACTGATTATTTATGAATGAAACACTTACTTTTAAAAATATCCTTAAAAAAATGCATGTAATTTTTCTTACCATTTTTACTGGGTTCAAGCCTAGAAAAGAAAAGAGAGCACTGTTAGAAGAACAAAAGAAACAAACCCAGTAAAATGAAGTATGCACGATTACTCACATGCTTTGATGAACTGGTGTTGCCATCTTTTTAGGTTCCCTGTACTGAAAAGCTACAATGACATAAGGGCAGATCTGTCTGGGTCGCTCAGTAACAGTGTTGCCTGAAAGTTCATAAAGGTAATACTGAAAGAAGAAAAGTATGTATTAACAGGGTAGCATTATGGAATTGCACATGTACCAAGTTTATCTCAAACCCACCCAGCCCTGAAATTTAACATACTAGATTCAAAAATCTATCTTGGGTATCATTTATTCACAAGTGACCGTACCTGACTCAGTTCAAAGGCACGAAAATGACTTGTCTCGTGAGAAACCTTGTTGGAATTTGCAGCCACGTGGCAATCATAGCCAGAAGATGGCCTAGTATAGTTAGTTGTATAATTCTCAGACACACACTTGACTTTTCCCTAGGATGAAAATATTAAAACTAATCAGATGTCTACAAATAGCAATAACCTTTACACTAGGATTCATAACCTACACTAGGATTCATTTAAAAGTAGCCCAACAAGGATATTTCCACTAAAAGTACTGCATTAAGAACTATGCTTCTTAGAAAAAGCAAAATCTTAAGGCCAACTATAGTTTTAATTCTCTAAGAGCCCTCAAAATTCTATTTTAAAAATCTTGGGCGCCTGGGCAAATATTTATCGTTTTTAGTCACAATATCAAAGAAATATATGAATCACCCCGGATTTGAGATAACTTTCCTTTCTTTCTTTTCTTTTTTTTTTTTTTTTTTGAGTTGGAGTCTCACTCTGTTGCCCAAACTGGAGTGCAATGGCCACTCTCGGCCACCGCAGCCTCAACCTGCTAGGCTCCGGTGATCCTTCTGCCTCAGCCTTCCAAGTAGCTGTAACTATAGGTGCGCGCTACCACGCCCGGCTAATTTTTTGATTTATTGTAGAGATGAGGTCTCGCCTGCCCAGGCGGGTCTCGAACCCACGGACTCAGGCAATCCACTCATCTCAGCCTCCCTAAGGCGCGGGATTACAGGCTGAGCCACCGAGCCCGGCTGGGAACTTTCTTAATAAGAAAAACTACACAGCCTACCATCTTTTATGTTATAGTTAATGAATGAGTGAATGACTATTCAATGACTGTAATATAAACAATGACAAATTAAAGTGACAAAAGTGAGTTTCCAAACTGAAGTATTATCAATTGTAAAAATAGTTCTATTTTCTCTGGAATTGGATAGCTGTCTTTAGCAAGGACTACTTTCAGTTAATAATTTACCAAGAATGTCATAGCCAGATAATTCTCAATTTTTAAAAAGAAAATTACATAAAAGCACATCTGGGTTTTACCTTAATTAGGTTAAAAATTACAATATAACCAGATTTCCCATGATACCACGGTCTTGGATGAAGGCAGTCTGAGTATTTAGAAATGTATACACCTATAAAAGTATAAAATATAGATTAATTTACACTTTAAAAAAGACTGTTTACACTCACACAATTCATATGTAGGGCACCCTTAAACCGAATAAGGCTACAGAAGGAGTAACTACAAGTCTATTTAAAATATCTATTTTGATACTGCTTACCTTTTAAAGAATCACTATCTGTCATATTCTAAAGGCATGGAGAAACATTAGAGTTAAAAATATATCTACTGGACAACCAATCTTCTAGTTGGTACAATAACTGAGAAGTGATAAAAGAATGTATCTGTTTTTTTCTCCAGGCAATCATTCAACTAAAAGGCCTATGACAGGGCAGGGCACAGTGGCTCAAGTCTGTAATCCCAACACTTTGGGAGGCCGAGGCGAGAGGACTTGCTGAGTCCAGGGGTTTGAGAGCAGCCTGAGCAAATTGACGAGACCTCGTTTCTACAATAAATCAAAAAACAAAAGAAGAAAAGAAGAGAGAGAGAGAAAGAAAGAAATTAAAAAAAAAAAAAAAAAAAAAAACGGCTTGGTGGAGTGTGCCTGTAGTTCTGGCTACTCAGAAGGCTGAGGCGGAAGGATCGCCTGAGTTCAGTAGGTTGAGGTTGCTGTGGTAGCCGTGAATGTACCACTGCACTCCAGCTTGTGCGACAGAGTGAGACTCTGACAAAAAAAAAAAAAGAAGGCCTATGATAATCTGAATCTCAAGCTGCTGTTTGTGAAAAATATCAATAAATACCCTTAAAGTTATGTATGACTACATGGCAGGTTCTGAGCTAGATAGCAGTGCCATACGTACATGTATGCGTATATACATACATACATACAAACCAGGCCCTTGCCTTCAAGTTTATTCTGCTAGACTGTAAATTCCATTAAGGCAAGGGTTCTATCTGTTCTGTTTGTCACCGTAGCCACACTATGTCCAACATATAATAGCTACTTACATATTTATGAAACATGCTACATTTGAGGACACACAGAAATGGACACAAAGACCATTAAGTGCTATAGAGTAGCATGTATAAAGAACTATAAGAACACTCAGTGGCTCAGCCTATAATCCCGCGCTCTGGGAGGCTGAGGTGAGTGGACTGCCTGAGCCCGCAGGTTCAAGACCCGCCCCGGGGCAACTTGGCGAGACCGCATCTCTACAATAAATAAAAAATTAGCTGGCTGTGGTAGCGCACGCCTGTAGTTCCAGCTACTTGGAAGGCTGAGGCGGAAGGATCCCCGGAGCCCAGCAGGTTGAGGCTGCGGTGGCCGGGAGTGTGCCTCCCGCCTGGGCGACAGTGAGACTCCAACTCAAAGAAAAAAAAAAAGAACATTTAAATAATGTCAGTTTGTATGGACAAGAACAAGTTCTTTAGACAGAGAAAGGAATGAACCCTAAATAGAGGAGAGAATGACCACATGTATGGAAGCCTAAAAGATCACAGCCTAGAGTTGGGAATAGGGAAGAAAGTGGTGGAAGCCAAGGGTGAACAGAAAGGCTGGCACTGGACAGTAAGGACCTCTGTATGACTTGACAATCAGCTTAGACTGTTTTCTGTAGGCAGCAGGGAACCATCAAAGGTTTTAAGCAGTGGACTGCCCATCAGAGAGGAAGTAAGACCAACTGGAAAGCTACTGTGCCAGCTGAGATAGGCGAGGAGGCACCCGGCAAGACAGCGACAGTGACAACAAGGAGGAGAGGACACACTGCTATTCCTCACAGAGGCAGTTCTTGTGAAATATAAAAGACAACGGGTGAGAAAACAGTGATCAAGTGGAAAGCAGTGAATCTGTGGGCAGATGTGTGGGTTCCAGTTAGGAATAAAGCACTCAAGTGGGGAGGGTGGGCCTGGGGCACAGACACATAAACCACAGGTTTCTCAGGGTAGACATACACAGACCTATACGCTTTTAAACTATAAAACACAATATTGATAGAAAGCATTGTCAGGCCATGGTTGCCAGAAAAAAGAAAGTATCAATATTACACACAGAACTAGGTAGTTTTGTGTATAACCTTTTCAAGCCAAAAACTATAAAATACACACAGGCAGTAGTGCTATTTTACTAATCAGCCCCAGCATATGTGGCTTTGAGGAATGGATGCATGTCAGGAACAACCTAGCTTCCACTTCTACCACCCTACTGAAGTCAGCCTCTCTCACATCAGCAACAAAATGAGACTGTAGGAATGCAGGATAAGGTCCTTTTTCTTTGAAACGTAAGTGGAGATTATTTGTAACTTGCTTTCAAATTCTTCAGAAAAAAATTAAACAAAAGAAGCAATGCAAAATATTATCTGTTAAAGTCGGGAGGCGGGTATATTATACTACGCTCTCCATTTTTTCTATGTTTATATTTTTCAGAATGAAAAAAAGCTGGGGCAGCTTTACGTAGTATTATAAATGTTATCACCTTTAGTGTTCTTTTTTTTTTTTGAGTTGGAGTCTCCCTCTGTCGCCCAGACTAGAGGGCAGTGGCTGCTCCCGGACACCGCAGCCTCGACCTGCGCAGCGATCCTTCTGCCTCAGCCTTCCAAGTAGCTGGCACTACAGGTGCACGCTACCACGCCCAGCTAATTTTTGATTTTTTTGTAGAGATGAGGTCTCACCAAGTTGCCCAGGTGGGTCTCGAACCCATGGGCTCAGGCAATCCACTCACCTCAGCCTCCCAAAGTGCTGGGATTACAGGCTGAGCCACCGAGCCCGGCTACCTTCAGTGTTCTTTAGAGATGAGTTGAATGTGCATTTAAAATTTTTGTTTTACATAGCTACCACATAACCCAGTGATTTGACTCTTACATACATGCCCAAGAGAAATGAAAATATGTCCCAGCAAAAACCTGTACACACATGCTCATAGCAGCATGATTCTTAACAGCCAAAAAGGAGAAACAGCCCAAATGTCCATGAGTTGATGAATGGATAATGTAGATGTGGCATAAGCATGTAACAAAACACAGTCATGCACCACATAACATTTCAAAGGTCAACGAAAGACCCAGTGTGAAATGGCCATCCCCTAAGAGTATAATGCCATTTTTACCACACCTTATCTATGTTTAGATACACAAATACCACTGTGTTACAACTGCCTGTAGTATTCACTACAGTAACATGCTGTATAGGTTTGCAGCCTAAGACCAACAGGCTGTACCATACAGCCTAAGGTAGTAGGTTAGGTCGTCTTAGTTTGTATAAGCACACTCTACGATGTTCACACGACCACAAAAACGCCTACAATGCATTTCTTAGAATGTGCCTCCACTGTTAAGTGCTGCACGACTTGTCTTGCTCTACCATAAAAAGGAATGTAGTACCACTGATAACATGCTACATGTAAGAGTCTCAAAAAGATGGTGCTAAGTAAAAAGTTACTCATAAAAGGCCACAAATTGTATGATTCCCTGTCTATGCAAGAAGAGAACAGGCACATCTACAGAGGCAGAAAGTAGACTAGTGGCTGTCCCAGGCTAGTGATGGCAGGGAATGGGGAGTCCCTACCAGTAACCACTGGATTCCTTTTTGGGTGATAAAAATGGTCTAAAATTGTGCTGTTGAACGACTCTGTGAATACACATAAAAAAACCCACTGAATTGTATACTTTGGATGGGTGAATTCTATGGTATGTGAACTGTGCCTCATGAAGCACTTACTTAACAACAATCCAACAAAAAGTTCAGCAGAAACCCAGTCATGAAGCCTAAGACTCCTTCCCAGCCCTGACTTCCACATCCGATGGCACCGGTGTTGCCAGCCACCTCTTCCTGAGATTCTTCTTTCTGTGAAACCCAATTTCCTGAGTCTCCACCTGGTGAACTGCCCTTGACACTACCTTATGCTAGCCTCCCCCATATCCTGACACATTGGTCCCATGAATGATCCAAAAGTTGTTCCCTGTCGTCTTCTCCTTCTGTACCATCCCCCAACGACATCTTGGCTTCAACTAACACCCCAGCCC